GACTAGTCCTGGGCAAACTGCCAATCGCTGCGCGTGACGCCAACGTTTTTTTATAAATAAATGAATGTACCGTTTTAAAAATAAATTTATGCAAACCGACACACCTGATGATGACCGTTTGAGTTATGGTCGAAACGTCGTGAGAATTTTTTTTTTATTGTTTTATATATTTTGTTATTTTGTTGTTTCTCTTCAACGTGACTTTACCGAAAAAACTAAGAAAAACGAATTACTGCAGTCACGAAAGCTTTAAATCAAAATTTGATTAGAAGCATGTTTTATTTTCAAAATGGAATTATGGTTTTGGGGGGGGGCAGAGCTTTGTGACGTCATATTTGAGGGGGGGGGTCTGACTTTTTGTGACGCCGTGTGACGAGGGGGGGGGGGTAAAAAATCATAGGACGCGGTGATGATGATGATGGCGGTGGTGGTGATGGTGGCTCGTGAAGGACGCCGCTACTGGGCTACAGTTGGAGGCGGTCGCCCCCTCCAGCAACGGAGGGCAGAGGGAGCGGCGCTAGCTCACAACAACGAGCGGGGTGGATAAAATACAGCGGTGTTGGCACGGTAGGGGTGAGGCGGGGGGAAACAACTTCTGGGTGCATCTACCGGTCATCTCGGTCAGCCAGCACACGGAATCTGCTGGGTCTGTCCCGTGACCTCCTGTCAGCAGCGAGCCTTTGACACTTCACGCCTCAAAGTGCACCTTGTGGCGAATGGCGGGTGTGTTGGTATTGTGTTGGTGGTGGTAGCGAGGAATGGGAAATCCCCCCCCCCCCCACGGCCAACTAGAGTCAACACACACACAGTGTGTGTTTGTTGACCTGGGGCATACAAAGATCCACCCGTGTAGCCTCTAACAGACTGTAGGGGCAAGTGCTGTTAGCGAGCACCTATGATGGCAAGCACGGCACACGAGGGGGTGGGTGGCCAGCACCACGCCCGGCCGCCTTTGTCTCCCCAGTGGCGATGTTTACTACACACCGCACCAGGTACTCATTTGAGGCTTAGTCGACCTAGGGGAGGCCCAGGACCGGCTCAGATATTCGTCACCGGTGTTGGCCGTGAGCCAGAATCGAACCCGTGTCGCCAGGTTCGTGGCGTGGCGCGCTGACCGCTACACTACCGCTCCCCACAGACACACACACAGACACACACACAGACACACACAGACAGACACACACACACAGACACACACACACAGACACATTTACACCTGCAACCACGCCACCACCGCCACCACCTACCCCCCACAAAAATAGGCATGCGAAATAAATAAGTAACACACCCACCCGTTTGGCTATCAAAGCACTCCACAGACCCCCAGTGGTTGCGTAATAAAGGTTGGGGAGCTCTTAGATCGCGGAAGAGTAAACATGTCGTGAAACCCGCCACCACTCGGACACACCACAATCGGTAAGTGTGGTTTGTCACGTAAACAAAACGTGGCCAATCTATCAAGGCCGTAGCCATGGAGTCAACATTGGAGGGGACCAAATCTTCCAGGGTGTCTGGGGGTCCCAACCCAGAAAAATACCTACATTTGAAAACTCAATTTCCTGCCTAAAATATTTAAACATTTCACTAACACATGGGATGGGCTTATTTATTTATTTTTACAGTAATGTCTAATAGTGTATTGTATTACATTGCTCTGTTTTTACTTTTTTTACCATTTCTTGTTTCATTGTATGTAATGGCAGAGATTAGGGATTAATAAAGTACAACCATAACCACAATCATATAAACAGAAATCTATGCATTGATTTAGATGAAGACAAGTCCAGATATGTGGCCAAGGTTGAGCAAATTGTTGTTTTTATTTACATAGCATAGCAATATTTTGGGGGGGGGGGCATTTTGAGTATATTTGTGTCCCCCCCAATATATTTCTTATAATTACTGCCTTGCAATCTATATATATAAAAGGGAAGTTTGTGAATGTGTGTCTGTTCGAAATGTTTAGCATACTTCCCGACGTGCAACAAACTTGAAATTTCGCATGTGCGTAGCTTCCAGACGGTACACAATGTGAAAATTATAAAAATAGACTTTTGTATTTTGGGGGGGGGGGGGGGGCGCAATAATGGATATATTTTACACGGCAAGTGAGTGGTGACGTCACATCTGTGATGTCACCCGCATGCGGCAGCGTCACGTAGTGTGCCTGCTGACGTCACGCATCCCCTCCCCCCAACCGTCCGCGTAGTTCCGTGTATTAATCCAAGCCAAGAATGCAAGTCTCGGGCGAAGCCTAAAGCTAGTTAGCATATAAAAAAAATAATTTTGATTGCGGCAAAAAGGATCTCATCGGTGGTTGTAGGGGCATTTAAACTCGACCCGAGCACGTGTCAACCAGCACGTGGAGAGCTCGTGTTGGGGGGGGGAGCATTTAAAACCGATTAGAGCACTTACCAAGCAGCAGGTGGAGGGCGAGCGTGTTGGAAGGGGGGAGTAGAAGCATTTAAACTCGACCCGAGCACGTGTCAACCAGCACGTGGAGATCTCGTGTTGGGGCGGGGTGGGGGGGTTGATGCATTTAAACCCGACTCGAGCACGTGTCAAGTAGCACGTGGAGAGTGCGCGTTAGTGGGGGGGGGGGTATTTAAACGTGACTCGAGCACGTGTCAAACAGCACGTGGAGTGCGCGTTAGTGGGGGTGGGGGGGTATTTTAACGTGACTCGAGCACGTGTCAAGCAGCCCGTGGAGTTCGCGTGTTTGGAGGAGGGGGGGGGGGGAGTTTCCGCACGTGTGACTTGAAGGGTCTCCGGGTCCGACCAAACATTCCTCTGGGTGGGTTGCCTCGGACACCCAAGATAAAATCTTTACGCAAAATAGCCTCCCCGTATTTATCTCTACAACATCAAACTAAAATTTAAAGAGTACGTTTTTGTATTAGTACAAACTAACACATTCCTGTGGAGGGAGCTGGTAGGAACGTTGGGTTGCTCGGTCAATGGCCAGGGTCAACGGCGGCGTGGTGTATTCCGCAAATACGCGTGAGTAGGTTAAACGTTGAGTTTTATAAGGGCACCACGGGGTGACCAGCCCCTCCCCACCCAGCCCCACCCCTACCATTTTTGGATGCACGACGGACGGACGGACACAATAATCCCCTGTGGGCTGGTGTAACCAGGAGGTTCCTACCAGTATTAAACTAAACTAAATATATTTTTTCTACCAGGTAAGGCCCCACTGAGCTGCTATAGAAATCCGCTCTTTGTCAGAAGCGATCTGGTATCAGCTCAACGAAGTGGGCTTTATCATCATCATCGCGTGGACATTAAGAGAAGCAGCCAAATAACTCAAAACGCGTGACGTTGATTCTAAATGTGGAGGGGAAAAAACCAGGAGGTACCGGAGACAAATCTACGCGACCATCACGGGGAGAGGGGCAGAAGAAGACACGCAGACTCAAAATATACAGCAGCAGCAACAGGCGTCGTCAGGGTCGGGATCGAACCCACGACCTCCTGTATACCACGCGAGGTAGTCAACATCTCCTAGCCACCGTGATGATGATGAGAGAGAGAGACACGCAGACTCAAAATATACAGCAGCAGCAGGCGTCGTCAGGGTCGGGATCGAACCCACGACCTCCTGTACACCAGGCGAGGTAGTTAACATCTCCTAGACACCGTGATGATGAGAGAGAGAGAGAGACACGCAGACTCCAAATATACAGCAGCAGCAGGCATCGTCAGGGTCGGGATCGAACCCACGACCTCCTGTACACCAGGCGAGGTAGTTAACATATCCTAGCCACCGTGATGATGATGATGAGAGAGACACGCTGACTCCAAATCTACAGCAGCAGGCATCGTCAGGGGTCGAGATATAAATAAAAATCCTGATTATTGTTTTCGGTCGTTCCTTGATGCTGAGAATTTAACTTTAAACAGGAGGTAAACAAAACCACGCCCACCCCTAAAGACACGGCCGTGAGACTGGCGCCCTCTTGCGTTCAAGGGGGGTGCGCACGGCGGCTAGGAGATGTTGACTACCTCGCCAGATTTACAGGAGGTCGTGGGTTCAGTCCCGATGCTCACGATGCCTGCTGCTGTATATTTGGAGTTTGCGTGTCTCTCTCTCATCATCATTATCACGGTGGCTAGGTGATGTTGACTGCCTCGCCTGGTGTACAGGAGGTCGTGGGTGCGATCCCGAGAGAGAGAGAGACACCCAAACTCCAAATATACAGCAGCAGCAGCAGCACGGGCATCGTCAGGGGTCGGGATCGAACCCACGTCCTCCTGTACACCAGGCGAGGTAGTTAACATCTTGACACCTTTGTCTGGTTTACCATCCTAACGGGGTGTTTTTTTCTTTTATTCTCATATTGTTTCTTGATGTATTTCGCTGACCCTCTCCTAATGGATATCTGCTTTAAAAACAATTAAAAAGAGCTTAATAGCTCATCGGATTTCCACTACTACCTCCTCCTCAAAGCGCCGCGACGTCACCGCGTCGAGCCGCCCACGTCACGACGCTCGCGCGTAACGACGTCACGCGGCTTCACCGTGTCGAGCGGAGTCTTGTACGTGATGACGTCCGACGGAGACGTCGTCCAAAACAGAACGACGGTTACGCGACGACGTCACGAGCGAGTGACGTAATCACGCACGGTGCGTGGGACTTCCCCCCCCTCTCCTAGTGTTGTGGTGTGCCGTCATCACGCACGGCGTGTGCGACTCCTCCTCGCCCCACCCCGCGCCCTCCGGTTTTGTGGAGTGACGTAAAACGCACGGCGCGGTGTCTCACCCCCCACGCTCCGGTGTTGTGGAGTGACATCATTACGCACGGCACGTGCGACTCCCGTGTTGTTGAGCGACGTCATCACTCACGGCGCGTGCGACTCCCCCCTCCCCTCTATTTTTGCGTGACGTCATCACGCACGGCGCGTGCGACTCCCCCCCGTGTTACTGCGTGACGTTATCACGCACGGCGCGTGCGACTCCCCCCCCGCCCCGCTCCGGTGTTGTGGAGTGACGTCATCACGCCACACCCACCCGTGGACCCCGCTTGTGGAGTGGTAGGGGTCGTAAAAGGGGGGGTGGTGGGGGGGGTTGCGATGGCGTTCGTGATGGAGGGCCCGCTGAGCAAGTGGACGAACGTGATGCAGGGATGGCAGTACCGCTGGTTCGTGCTGGACTACAGCGCGGGCCTCCTCTCATACTACACGGTAAAGGGGCCCGGCGGCCGCACCTCGGGCCCACGCGCGCGCGAGAGGCGGTCCAGGCTTGCCGAGGCCTAGACCAACCGGCGTGAACCTCACCCCCGCCTACCCCCCCAACTTGCCTAGCGAATCCTGCCTGGGGAGAGACGACAGGACCCCGCCGGGGCGACGAGGAGCAAGGGGGGAAGAGGCGGTTGGGTCTCGGGGTGTGTATGTGTGTGTGCGACTGTGCGGTTGAACTTCTTTCGCACCGTACGTAGCCCAACCGCGCTAATCGTAGGTGTGGTGTGAAAGACAACAAACTAAACACAACAACAGCAACAATCAGCTCGAATTGAATGAGTTTGCCAGTCAAGATGATTTAAAAGTGCACAGCTTCCAGTGACTTCCTAATGTGTGTACGGTTGAATTTCTTTCGCACCGTACGTAGCCAACCGTACTAATCGGAATCGCCGTGGGGGAAGGCCGACAAAGTAAACAGCAACATGAAGCAGTTCTAAAGAACTGAGTTTATCAATATAGATGATTTAAAAGTAAATCACAGCGCCTAGTGGCTTTCTAACATCGGAAGGAAGAGAGCGTTCCAGACGGCCGCAGAAGCAGCGCATCTGAAAGCGCTCGATGCATTGTTGTGAGTCCATGGGTCTCTGTGTGTCTGTGGGTCTCTGTGTGAGTCTATGGGTCTCTGTGAGTCCATGGTCTCTGTGAGTCTATGGGTCTCTGTGTGAGTCTATGGGTTTCTGTGTGAGTCTATGGGTCTCTGTGTGAGTCTATGGATCTCTGTGTGAGTCTATGGGTCTCTGTGTGAGTCTATGGGTCTCTGTGAGTCTATGGGTCTCTGTGTGAGTCTATGGGTTTCTGTGTGAGTCTATGGGTCTCTGTGTGAGTCTATGGGTCTCTGTGTGAGTCTATGGGTGTCTGTGTGAGTCTATGGGTCTCTGTGTGAGTCTATGGGTGTCTGTGTGAGTCTATGGGTCTCTGTGTGAGTCTATGGGTCTCTGTGTGAGTCTATGGGTCTCTGTGTGAGTCTGTGGGTCACCGTGTGAGTCTATGGGTCTCTGTGTGAGTCTATGGGTCTCTGTGTGAGTCTATGGGTCTCTGTGTGAGTCTATGGGTCTCTGTGTGAGTCTATGGGTCTCTGTGTGAGTCTATGGGTCTCTGTGTGAGTCTATGGGTCTCTGTGTGAGTCTATGGGTCTCTGTGTGAGCCTACTGGTCTCTTTACAAGTCTGTGGATCTCTGTGCTAGTCTATGGGTCTCTGTGAGTCTATGGATCTCTGTGCGAGTCTGTGGATCTCTGTGCGAGTCTGGGTCTCTGTGGTGAGTACGTACGTTGAACTTCTTTCGCACCGTGCATTATCCAGCCGCGCCAACCGTAGTTGCGTTGGAAGGACACCAAAGTAAACATTAAATCGGGACGTCACTTCGACGCGTGACTTGTTTGGTTCGTCGCGGCTAAGGATGACGGGCATAGGGGTGCGGTGATGTTCTAGGGGTCAAGATAGGGCTCGGGTAAGGGGTCAAGCTGTCGGATTAGGGTCGAGTAGCAAGCAAGTCGAACGTTAAGGGTACAGGGATACGCCTTGGGTCGTGGGTTCGGTTTAGTGGGTTAGCGATGGAGGCAATGGGGGTTAAAGGTTTATGGTTAAGGAAAAATATTCTTTGGGTAGGTTCAAAGAAAAATAACAAAAAAAACTACGACTTCTCGATCGCAACACAAGCGTTCGTCATCAAGGAAGAGTGGGTTAGCTTCTCAAGGTAAACTGTTTGTAAAGGTTTGAAATGGTCGTAGCTCAAATGTCAGCAGCCAATGTTAATGTGAGTGGTGGGCAGCGACCGTGTGACGGTGATGGGTTTTCCCACCAATCATAGTTTGGGGTTGAGGGAGTTGCTGTTGTAGTTGTGCGTAGGGTTAGGATGAGGGGGTTAAGACATAGGGGTGGGGTAAGGGATAAGCTGTATGATGATACCCCCGATCCCTACGTACGTGTGTTGGAACTTCTTTCGCACCGTGCTCACTTAACCCGACCCCCAAACTCTAGCGTAAGGTTATAACTCTTCGTTTATAACATTAGGCTCAGATCTATGGTGACAACGCCTGCAAAGTTAAAGGCCGCTTCGGGGGTATGGGGGGGGGTGGGTGCTATGCTGCCTTGTGAGCAGCAGAGGGCATTGCAGCACAACGCATTGCATTTACTGCACACCGCTTTCACGAACACCCACACAGGCCAGCATGGTGAGGTGTGGTCCAGTCACCTCCGATTACCCGCACGGCGTGGGGAGGCCCTCATCCAGCAGTTGATTGGGGGCCACGGTGGCTAGGAGATGTTGACCGCCTCGCCTGGTATGCAGGAGGTCGTGGGTTTGATCCTGAACCCTGACGCCTGCTGCTGTATATTTTAACAAGACGATTCCCGTACACAGCGCAGGGAGGGGGTGGTTGACACCAGGCACACAACACACACAGTACGGATGACGGTGCAGTGGCAAACCCGTCTAAACTGCGTGTTTCAATAAACTATCTCTACAAACCCTGGTGTCTTCTGAAGCCCTCATACCCCTGTAGGAGAGGGGGGAAAGGGAGGTGGGGGGGGGAAGGGGGGGAGTGCCTAAATGCCCTCATGAATGCTCTTAAGAATCAATGCCCACTGGAGGAGAGGCAGTGAAGGGGGTTCCACGTTTGGCGGTAAGCATCCTCCCTGCCCCTTAGTTTTGCGACTTAGATGCTCTAGAGCGGCACATTTTTTTTTACAATGTATTGGCCTATTCCCGCAGTGTTTGGAAAGTATACAAATCACTGAAAAATGTGCAAATAAAATCATTCTTTTTTATCTTACCCGGTAAAGCTCCCCGAGGTATCAATCTACTGGCTCGATCTTCGTTACAGGGCACATTGAGATCTACGGACGGAATGTGCCACTTTAGAAACGTGCGTTATTATTACGATATCATTGTTTTCATTTCAGTCCAAAGACAAGATGATGAGAGGGTCCCGACGGGGCTGTGTTCGACTCCGGGTGAGTGGCAGCGTGTGCGCTGATTGTGGTGACGGTGGTGGCGGTGGTGGCGTTGGTGGCGGTGGTGGCGGTGGTGGCGGTGGTGGCGGTAGCGGCCGTGAAGGACGCTGCTACTGGGCAGTTGGAGACAGTCACCCTCCAGCAACGGAGGGCGGGGGGAGCGACGCTCACAACAACGATGAGCGGAGTGCCGGGGGGAATAAATACACAAAGTCGGCACAGTGGGCAGCACAGCTGGTGGTGCATCTGCGAAATATCTCAGCCAGTAAAAGCCATGGCATGTGCTGGGTCTGTCCCATGACGCCTTGCTGGCAGGCCTTCGACACTTCACGGTGCCTCAGGGTGCACCTAGCATGGCACGAGCGCCGCGGTGACGTCGCCGCCAATTACTGTGAACGGGAGCGTCATAGCTCATCGGATTTCTCCAGTATTAATAAATATTCAGATTTTGACTTAGCGGTGAACGGCGGTTGTTGTTGAAGATCGTCACAAGTGGGGAGGTGGTTTTGGTGATGTTACGGTCGCTCGTGTTGGTGCTGGTGATGATAGCGTGGCACCGGTGATACAGTCGGTTGTTCTTGAGAGGCCGACTAAGCTTGATCAATCTACCATTATAAATGTTGCTCGTTCCTTACGACCAGAGGAAGGAGATGCAATTGGTGGTGCGGGGTGATGTTGGGTGGTGTTTGTAGCGATGGTATTATTGGTGTAGATTTTTTATGATGTTTTTGGTGATGGGGTGCCACGGTGGCTCGGAGATGTTAACTACCTCGCCTGGTATGCAGGAGGTCGTGGGTTCAATCCAGACCCTGACACCTGCTGTATATTTGGAGTTTTGCGTTTCTCTCTCCCCGTGGTCACGTGGATTTTTCTCCGGGCCTCTCCGGTTTGTCCCTCCACATTTAGAATCAACGCTACGTGTTTAGAGTATTTGGCTGCTATGGATTTCCACGCGATAATAAGCCCACTTCGTTGAGCTTTCGTTTGCGATATCCAGGTCGCTTCTGAAAAGAGCTTACGTCGCTGGCACCTGGTAAAGTAAAAATCTTTTTTGGAATAGTTTTATCTGGGAATGGTTGTTTTGGCGATGATAGTGAATGTGAGGGTTTAACGGTGGAGGTATCGGTGGTCATTCTGGGTATGTTTTCTGACAATGGAGATGGCGCTGATGATGATGACGGGAATTGTTTTATTGGTGTTGGTGGTCATGTTCCTCTCTCTCCTCTCTGTGTGTAGGGAGCGGTGATTGGCATCGACGATGAAGATGACAGCACTTTCACCATCACCGTGGATCAGAAAACTTTCCACTTCCAGGGTAACTCCCCACTTGCATGAACAAACAAAAGCAAAAAAAACTCCACACACGCTGCAGTCATCCGCGTATGTTTGGAGTTTTCGGTGTCTCTTTCCCCTGTGGTCACATGGATTTTTCTCCGGGTCCTCCGGTTTTTCTCTCCACTTTTAGATCAAACGGCCGTTCAGAGTATTTGACCGCTGTAAATTTCCACTTGATGATGAGCCCACTTCGTTGAGCTATCATTTGTGATGACAGGGTCGCTTCTCAATAAAAGAGCTGTATAGCTCAGTGGGCCTTAGCTGGTAAAATAAAAGAAGTTCAACATACGTACAATATCATTCATGGCCAGGTCGCTTCTCAAACAAGAGCTCTATATATATATACACACTGGATAGTTTAAAATTTCCCATTGGTGCATCAGGATGCGGTTTCGGGTGGACCATGAGCTTCCGTGGAAGATCAAACCCAGGGATCTTCTGCGTTGGCTCCTTCACCAGGTGTTTGTGAGTTCTTTTGAACTCGATTCGGCTCTCCAAGCGTCATCGGGGGCTGAACTCGCCTTGTAGGCTTGACTGTCGGTGGTAAGTGTGATTCAGTGTTGGCGAACGTTCTCCGGCAGCGCGTGACGCAGACGAGAGGGAGAAGTGGATCGGAGCGCTCGAAGACACGATCCAGAGGCACTCGCTGCAGCTGAGGGTACCGGACGCACACGCACGCTGCCTTACACACACATACACACGCGCTGCCTTACACGCCTTACACACGCGCTGCCTTACACACACACACATACGCTGCCTTACACACACATACACACGTGCTGCCTTACACGCCTTACACAGACGCTGCCTTACACACGCGCTGCCTTACACACACACATACGCTGCCTTACACACACGCTGCCTTGCACACACACACACATACGCTGCCTTACACACACGCTGCCTTACACACACGCTGCCTTACACACACATACACACGCGCTGCCTTACATACACACACATACGCTGCCTTACACACACATACACACGTGCTGCCTTACACGCCTTACACAGACGCTGCCTTACACACGCGCTGCCTTACACACACACATACGCTGCCTTACACACACGCTGCCTTGCACACACACACACACACTCGCTGCCTTACACACACAAAGACAAAATCCCCCCTGTAGCCTGAATAGACTATTGGGGCAAGTGCTGTTAGCGAGCAGCACCTATGAAGGCCGGCACTGTGGCGCACGAGGGGGTGGGTGGCCAGCACCACGCCCCTAACCGCTTTTGCCTCCTCAGCGGCGATGTTTACTACACACCGCATCAGGCGCTCATTTGAGGCTGAGTCGACCTAGGGGACGGCCAGGCAAAAGCCGCTGCTGCGAGAATGACCGACGTTTTTGTGATGGTTGATGTTCCTTGACGAGATCAGCAAGGCATTGTGGGTTCATTTGTAAGCCTGCCCCCCCCCCCTCCCTGCTCCCCCCACCCCCCTCCTCTTCCGTGCCCCCCAGGACCCCGAGCTGAACTTGACGCCAGGTGGCGGGGACTTTGAGCGGAAACTGGCGGAAGCTGACGCCTACCTGCAGATCCTCATTGAGCAGCAGCAGGTGTCAGAGACGCACGGGGGAGATGGGCGGGGGGAGACACGGGGGAGATGGGTGGGGGAGGCACGGGGGAGATGGGTGGGGGGAGACACGGGGGAGATGGGTGGGGGAGACACGGGGGGAGACGGGGGGAGACACGGGGGAGATGGGTGGGGGAGGCACGGGGGAGATGGGTGGGGGAGGCACGAGGGGAGACGCGAGGGAGATGGGTGGGGGAGACATGGGGGACATGGGTGGGGGAGACACGGGGGGAGATGGGGGGAGACACGGGGGAGATGGTTGGGGGAGACACGGGGGGGGACGGGGGGAGACACGGGGGAGATGGTTGGGGGAGACACGGGGGAGATGGGTGGGGGAGACACGGGGGGAGATGGGGGGAGACACGGGGGAGATGGTTGGGGGAGACACGGGGGACATGGGTGGGGGAGACACGGGGGGAGATGGGGGGAGACACGGGGGAGATGGTTGGGGGAGACACGGGGGGGGACGGGGGGAGACACGGGGGAGATGGTTGGGGGAGACACGGGGGAGATGGGTGGGGGAGACACGGGGGAGATGGGTGGGGGAGACACGGGGGAGATGGGTGGGGGAGACACGGGGGAGATGGGTGGGGGAGACACGGGGGAGATGGGTGGGGGAGACACGGGGGAGATGGTTGGGGGAGACACGGGGGAGATGGGTAGGGGAGACACGGGGGAGATGGGTGGGGAAGACACGGGGGAGATGGGTGGGGGAGACATGGGGGAGATGGGTGGGGGAGACACGGGGGAGATGGGTAGGGGAGACACGGGGGAGATGGGTGGGGGAGACACGGGGGAGATGGGCGGGGGGAGACACGGGGGAGATGGGCGGGGGGAGACACGGGGGAGATGGGTGGGGGAGGCACGGGGGAGATGGGTGGGGGAGACACGGGGGAGATGGGTGGGGGAGACACGGGGGAGATGGGCGGGGGGAGACACGGGGGAGATGGGTGGGGGAGGCACGGGGGAGATGGGTGGGGGAGACACGGGGGAGATGGGTGGGGGAGACACGGGGGAGATGGGTGGGGGAGACTCGGGGGGAGACACGGGGGAGATGGGTGGGGGAGGCACGGGGGAGATGGGTGGGGGAGGCACGGGGGAGATGGGGGGGGGAGACACGGGGGAGATGGGCGGGGGGAGACACGGGGGGAGATGGGTGGGGGAGACACGGGGGAGATGGGCGGGGGGAGACACGGGGGAGATGGGTGGGGGAGACACGGGGGAGATGGGTGGGGGGAGACACGGGGGAGATGGGTGGGGGAGACACGGGGGGAGACACGGGGGAGATGGGTGGGGGAGACACGGGGGAGATGGGCAGGGGGAGACACGGGGGAGATGGGTGGGGGAGGCACGGGGGGAGACACGGGGGAGATGGGTGGGGGAGACACGGGGGAGATGGGTGGGGGAGACACGGGGGAGATGGGCGGGGGGAGACACGGGGGAGATGGGCGGGGGGAGACACGGGGGAGATGGGCGGGGGGAGACACGGGGGGAGATGGGCGGGGGGAGACACGGGGGGAGATGGGTGGGGGAGACTCGGGGGGAGACACGGGGGAGATGGGTGGGGGAGGCACGGGGGAGATGGGTGGGGGAGACACGGGGGAGATGGGCGGGGGGAGACACGGGGGAGATGGGCGGGGGAGGCACGGGGGAGATGGGTGGGGGAGGCACGGGGGGAGACGGGGGGGACACGGGGGAGATGGGTGGGGGAGACACGGGGGAGATGGGTGGGGGAGACACGGGGGAGATGGGTGGGGGAGACACGGGAGAGATGGGTGGGGGAGACACGGGGGGAGACGGGGGGAGACACGGGGGAGATGGGTGGGGGAGACACGGGGGGAGACGGGGGGAGACACGGGGGAGATGGTTGGGGGAGACACGGGGGGAGACGCGGGGAGACACGGGGGAGATGGGTGGGGGAGACACGGGGGGAGACGGGGGGAGACACGGGGGAGATGGTTGGGGGAGACACGGGGGGAGACGGGGGGAGACACGGGGGAGATGGTTGGGGGAGACACGGGGGAGATGGGTGGGGGAGACATGGAGGAGATGGGTGGGGAAGACACGGGGGGAGACGGGGAGAGACACGGGGGAGATGGTTGGGGGAGACACGGGGGGAGACGCGGGGAGACACGGGGGAGATGGGTGGGGGAGACACGGGGGGAGACGGGGGGAGACACGGGGGAGATGGTTGGGGGAGACACGGGGGGAGACGGGGGGAGACACGGGGGAGACGGGTGGGGGAGACACGGGGGAGATGGGTAGGGGAGACACGGGGGAGATGGGTGGGGGAGACATGGGGGAGATGGGTGGGGGAGACACGGGGGAGATGGGTGGGGGAGATGGGTGGGGGAGACACGGGGGGAGACACGGGGGAGATGGGTGAGGGAGACACGGGGCAGATGGGTAGGGGAGACACGGGGGAGATGGGTGGGGAAGACACGGGGGAGATGGGTGGCGGAGACACGGGGGAGATGGATGGGGGAGACGCGGGGGAGATGGGTGGGGGCGACACGGGAGAAAGAGACATGAGAGAGACATGGGGAGACCGGGGAGGGGTTGACAGAGACGTGGGGATATGAAGAAGGAAAGGCAGCACCCAAATGCTCTGAACGTGTGACGTGGATCATAAATGCGGAGGGAACAACTGGAGGACCCGGAGAAAAATCCACTTGACCACGGGGAAGGCAGAGAGACACGCAGACTCCAAATATACAGCAGCAGGCATCGTCAGGAGTCGGGATCGAATCCACGACCTCCTGTATACCAGGCGAGGTAGTTAACATCTAGCCACCGTGATGATGATGATGATAAGAGACACGCAGACTCCAAATATACAGCAGGCATCGTCAGGGTCGGGATCGAACCCACGACCTCCTGTACACCAGGCGAGGTAGTTAACATCTCCTAGCCACCGTGGCACCTAGACACCAGGAGATTGTGAGACATAGGGAAAGCAGACACGCAATGGGATATCGTCTCGCTCACACTGCCGCCACTGTTTGTGTCGCCGTCTCTCCGTGTTCCCGCAGTGCTTCGATGAGAAACTCAAGCTATGCAAGGATGAAGAGCAAAGGAGGGTGAGTGAACGCCCCATGCCGGGAATTTCCACACGGCTTCACCGTGGTATCGAAGCGTGTTTGTCTATGTGGCGAGCAGGTGGTGTGTTAGCGGTGGTGTGTGTTAGCGGTGGTGTGTGTTAGCGGTGGTGTGTGTTTGCGGTGGTGTGTTAGCGGTGGTGTGTTAGCGGTGGTGTGTTAGCGGTGGTGTGTGTTTGCGGTGGTGTGTGTTTGCGGTGGTGTGTTAGCGGTGTTGTTAGCGGTGTGTGTTAGCGTTGTCTTTGCGATGGCGTTTTAGCGGTGTATCTGTGCGGTGTTGTTAGCGGTGTATCTTTGCGGTGTTGTTAGCGGGGGTGTGTTAGCGGTGTGTCTGTGCGTTGTGTGTGTCCTTTGCAGAAGGTGGGAGAACTCAAAGGGATCTCCATGGTAAGTCTCCACCCCTTCCCACAAACAGACAAAATCCCCCGTGTAGCCTCTAAGAGACTGTAGGGGCAGGTGGCTATTAGCGAGTAGCACCTATGAAGGCCGGCAAAGCACACGAGGGGGTGGGTGGCCAGCGACCACGCCCGGCCGCTTTTGTCTCCCCAGTGGGCGATGTTTACTACACACGGCACCAGCTACGCATTCGAGGGCGAGTCGACTTAGGGGAGGAGGCCCAGGACCGGTTCGGATAATCGTCGCCGGTGTTGGGGGCGGTGAGCGGAAATCGAGCGTTTGTAGTGCGCTCACCGCTACCGTTCCCCACACCACACTAACACACGCACGCACACCTATCGAGTCTCTTCATTAATTGAACCCCATCTAATCCATCCTTGTCAGCGTGTGTCTCTCTCCGCGTGAAAGTGCGTCGCGTTCACGATTGAAACGTGCAATTGGAATGCGACTAATGGTGATGATGATGATGATGACAATGGTGATGGTGATGACAGTGATGGTGGTGATGAGGATGATTATGGTGATGACGATAATGGTGATGATGAAGATCGGGACCACAATAACCGTGATGACGATGATAATGGTGACGACGATGGCGATGACGATGGCGCTGATGACGACGGTGATGCTGTCCCCACAGAACATGGTGGAGTCCATAAAGCACTGCATCGTCTTGCTGCAGATCGCCAAGGTGAGATCCAGCCGCCAGGTTAATTTAACAACAACAAGGAGAATTGTTATTTCATCTCATCCAGCGTCATTCCTGCGAGTTGCTTCCCGTGCCGCTGCACGCTAATTACGTGCAAGGGCCATATCCTGTTTGTAGCAGTTATCAGGCAAATTAAAACCATCAGAAGAGAACAATTCCTAAACAAGTTTGGAAATGGCACCACAAACCGAAGACGCAAGGCAGCCAGGCAGTGCACACCGTGGGAACGTTCTCCGCCATGTTCGTGCGCGCGTGTGTGTCCGTGCGTGCGTGTGTTTGTGTGTGGGGAGCGGTAGTGGTGTAGCGTTTAGCGTTACGCTGCGCTGTGAACCTGGCGACACGGGTTCGATTCCCGCTCACGGCCAACACCCAGTGACGATCATCTGAACCGGTCCTGGGCCTCCTCTAGGTCGACTCAGCCTCAAATGAGTACCTGGTGCGGTGTGTAGGAAAAGTCGCCGCCGGGGAGACAAAGGCGGCCGGGCGTGGTGTTGGCCACCCACCCCCTCGTGTGCTGTGCCGGCCTTCATAGGTGCTCGCTAACAGCACTTGCCCAAACATTCTGTTAAGGCTGCTACCTTGGGGATCTTTGTCTTTTGAGCGGTAGTGGTTTAAGCGGTTAGCGCTACGCTCCGTTATGAACCCGGCGTTGACCGGGTTCATAACGTTTCCCGCTGACGGCCACCAACAGCGGGGACGATTGAAGTTTACCTGGGCCTCCCCTCGGTCGACTTGGCCTCAAATGAGTACCTGGGTGCGGTGTGTAGTAAACGTCGCCACTGGAGAGACAAAGGTGGTCGGGCATGGTGCTGGCAACCCACCTCCCCCCTCGTGATGCACTTCTGCGGCCGTCTAGAACGCTCTCTTCCGTTTATTTGGAAGCCAGTAGGAGCTTCGCACTCTTTAAATCTTCATCTAGATTGACAAACTAATTTCTTTCGAACTGCTTGTTGTGGTGTTTAGTTTGTTGGCCTTCATATTTAGCACGGTTGACTACGTACTGTGCAAAACAAGTTCAATATACTTACACAGGACTTGCACAGAGACCCATAGACTCACACGGCAGAGACCCACAGACTCACACAGAGACCCGTAGCCTCACACAGAGACCCACAGACTCGCACAGAGGCTCAGACTCACACAGAGACCCATAGACTCATACAGAGACCCACAGACTCACACAGAGGCCCATAGACTAGCACACAGACCCATAGACTCACACAGAGATCCATAGACTCACACAGCAGAGACCCATAGACTCACACGGCAGAGACCTGTAGACTAACACAGAGAACCGTAGACTCACACAGAGACCCATGGACTCGCACAGAGACCCACAGACTCACACACAGAGACCCGTAGACTCGCACAGAGACCCATAAACTCACACAGAGACCCACAGATTAACACAGAGACCCACAGACTCACACACAGAGACCCGTAGACTCGCACAGAGACCCATAGACTCACACAGAGACCCACAGACTCACACACAGAGACCCATAGACTCACACATACACCCATAGACTCACACAGAGACCCATAGACTCACACAGAGACCCACAGACTCACACAGAGACCCACAGACTCACACAGAGACCCACAGACTCACACAGAGACCCACAGACTCACACACAGAGACCCGTAGACTCGCACAGAGACCCACAGACTCACACAGAGACCCGTAGACTCGCACAGAGACCCACAGACTCACACAGAGACCCACAGACTCACACAGAGAGACCCGTAGACTCACACAGAGACCCATAGACTCACACAGAGACCCGTGTGGTTGCGTGGCAACGCAGAGCTCGCTGAACCCGGTGGAGACCGTGAGGGACGGGGACGGTGAGGAAGCGGTGGTGGCGCACGCCGGTACGGCAAGCGGCCGCCCGGAACTCACGTGCGCCGGTACGGCGAGCGGGGAGACGATGGTTGTGGTGGTGGTGGTGTTGTTGTTAAGGTGGTGGTTGTGGTATGTATGCACGTGCGTTTGAAATTATACGTAGATCAGGGGAGCGCGGCTAATTTGAGTGGTGATGATGGTGTTAAGTGGTGCTGATTGAGTGCTGGCGATGGCGTTAACGAGGCGATGGTGGTAATTGACGGTGTTGAGAAATGAGCCGCGAGTCTCGGCCTGAAGCCTTCCGCGGTAAACGTGCGAGCGGGCGTCGCGGCCAGCGCAGGCGCTCGGTGCCGGTGTCTCGTTTACCACCCCCCACCGCCGTGCCGCAGGTTCCCGCGGGGATCGGCCGGCGGGCGGAGGGACGGCGTCGGCGGAAGCGCGCCCCACGACGCTCCACGTGTCCTCCCCCGCGGCACCGTCGCTCGGCCTCGACAAGCCGCCGCCGCCGCCGCCGCCGCCGCCGCCGCTGCCGCCGCCGCACGCCAGGGACGACGGCGGAGAGGACGGTGGGCGGCGCGGGTGGCGGGGAGTGGCGGCGCAGCGGTTAGCGCTGCGAGGTCGGCGGCCCCGAGTTCGACTCCCGCTCACGGCCAACGCCGGTGGCGATTTTCTGAACCGGTCCTGGGCCTCATCCCCAGTGGCGGTGTGTGGTGAACATCGCCACTGGGGAGACAAAGGCGGCCGGGCGTGGTGCTGGCCACCCCACCCCCTCGTGTGCCGCAGTGCCAACTTTCGTAGGTGCTCGCTAACAGCACTTGCCCCTACAGTATGTTAGAGGCTACACGGGGAATCTTTGTCTTTGTCTCCTACATAGCTGCTGCTGCTACTCGCTAACAGCACTTGCCCCGACAGTCTGTTAGAGGCTACACGGGGAATCTTTGTCTTTGTCTCCTACATAGCTGCTGCTGCTACTCGCTAACAGCACTTGCCCCTATAGTCTGTTAGAGGCTACACGGTGGGGGGTCTTTGTCTCCTTCATAGTCGCTGCTGCTACTCGCTAACAGCACTTGCCCCGACAGTCTGTTAGAGGCTACACGGTGGGGGATCTTTGTCTTTTGGTGCTGTGCGGAGCAGTGGTGCAGTGGTTAGCGCTACTCTGCAGCGCTCCAAGCCCCCGGCGGCTCGATTTCGATTGCCTCCTTTCATGCGCCCACCACGTCCTCACCACGTCCTCACCTCGTCCTCACCACGACCTCACCACGACCTCACCACGTCCTCACCACGACCTCACCACGACCTCACCACGACCTCACCACGACCTCACGACCACGGACAGAGCGTCGATGCCTCCGCTCGTCGACGAGTTTACCGAGTAGTTACCGAGTAGTTACCGAGTAGTTACCGAGAGTTACTGAGTAGTTTACCGAGTAGTTACCGAGTAGTTACCGAGTAGTTACCGAGTCGCCGTCGTCTGCCACCCCATCGCAGGCAGCGGCAGCAGCGGCGGCGGCGGCGACGATGACGACGACGACGACTTTGAGGAGGAGGCGGCGGTTGTGGTGACGTCGCCGTGTGACGTCGCCGGAGTCCCCCACATCTCCTACTCGAGCAGCGAGGACGAGTTCTACGACGCCAACGACAGCGACGCCAACGACAGCACGTCGCCCAAGCCCCCGCGCACGTGAGTCGCCCTCTCGCTCGCTCAGTCGCTCGCTCGGTCACTCGCTCGTTGTGTTGCGTTTTGTTCACTCACTCGCTCACTCATTCACTCACTCACTCGCTCGGTCACTCGCTCGCTGTGTTGCGTTTTGTTCACTCACTCGCTCACTCATTCACTCACTCGCTCGGTCACTCGCTCGTTGTGTTGCGTTTTGTTCACTCATTCGCTCACTCATTCACTCACTCGCTCGGTCACTCGCTCGCTGTGTTGCGTTTTGTTCACTCATTCGCTCACTCATTCACTCACTCGCTCGCTCACTCGCTCGCTGTGTTGCATTTTGTTCACTCGCTCGCTCACTCGCTCACTCACTCGCTCGCTCGCTCGCTCGCTCGCTCACTCGTTGTGTTGCGTTTGTTCACTCACTCGCTCACTCATTCACTCACTCGCTCGTTGTGTTGCGTTTGTTCACTCACTCGCTCACTCATTCACTTGCTCACTCACTCACTCGCTGTGTTGCGTTTTGTTCACTCGTTCGCTCACTCATTCACTCACTCGCTCGCTGTGTTGCGTTTTGTTCACTCACTCGCTCACTCATTCACTCGCTCGCTCGCTCATTCACTCGCTCACTTGCTCGCTCATTCACTCGCTCACTCGCTCACTCGCTCTGTCACTCGCTCGCGCTGATACGTTCGCTCACGGCAAATGACGATGACGATGACGATGACGACGACGATGATGATGTCTCCACTGCTGCTGCTCTCCGGTCCCCGGTGTCGAACTCAGGTCATTGGGAGCCTCGGGCCTCAAGCACCCCGCCACCACCGAGTCGCTGGCCTCCATCGCCTCGGGCTGTACCAACGACGGTGTGTACCGTAGGGGGGGTGCTGGGGTGCTGGGACGCAGCGGGCGGTGAGAATGGGTCGTGCCACATTGCCTTTTTGTCCCCTGTGGATTCCACTTCCTCCTTATTGCCATCTACCTGCGCTCGAAACGAATTCTTGTTCGACGCGGGGCTTTGGCGATCGATTGTTGGCGGTCCGATAAATCCACGGCAGCGCACCCTGGTCGTCGGCTTCGGAAGGAGTGGAATGGATGCGTGCCGGCCTGGTTCGGCGTTGGTGCGGTATTTCTGCAGCTTAGCCAGGCGCTCCTGTGTCCCCCGGCCTCCTGGCACGGACCCCGTCATCCAACAGCGGAGTGGCAAAGGGTTGTAAATGATATACGATGTTACCGCAGTCGGTTGCGCGACCACGATCAGTCACGCGGCGCGTGTGGCAACGCGCGTACATGGCGACGCGTGTGTACACGTGACGTGACGACGAGTGTACGTGCGACGCGTGTGTACACGTGACGTGACGACGAGTGTACGTGCGACGCGTATGTACACGTGACGTGACGACGAGTGTACGTGCGACGCGTGTGTACACGTGACATGATGACGAGTGTACGTGCGACGCGTGTGTACACGTGACATGATGACGAGTGTACATGCGACCTGCGTGTACACGAGACGTGTGTACACGTGACGTGTCGTGCGACGTGCGTGTCGTGCGTGGGGCAGAGCGCTACGACGCGCAGGACGAGAACGACTCGGAGGAGGGCGAGTCGGTGGAGGACCACAAGAGCGTCATCATGCACCTGCTGTCCCAGGTCAAGCTGGGCATGGACCTCACCAAGGTGAGGCCCCCACCACCCACACCACCCCCACCACCCCCACCACTCCCTCCCTCTCCACCCGCTCCCTCCATCCCTTCCCTCCCACCCTCTCCCTCCCTCCAGGGGGCGACTAGTATTTCCACCAAAGAAGAGACTCCTAGAGACCTGTGTAGATACACAGACTCCGAGAGACTCGTGGAGCCCCGTGGAGTTATAGACTCGCAGAGGCTCGTGGAGCCCTGTAGAGACACACAGAGTTGCACAGAGCCGAACAAAGACTCGTTGAGACTCATAGCAGCCCGTCGTGCGAGCAGGTGGTGCTGCCCACCTTCATCCTGGAGCGGCGCTCGCTGCTGGAGATGTACGCCGACTTCTTCGCTCACCCCGACCTTTTCGTCAGGTGAGCAGCGCTCACCGCCGCGGTGCCGCCACACTCACCACCACACTCGCCGCCACACTCACCACCACACTCACCACCACACTCACCACCACACTCGCCGCCACACTCACCACCACACTCACCACCACACTCACCACCACACTCGCCGCCACACTCACTGCCACACTCACCACCACACTCGCCGCGATACCGCCACACTCTCCGCCACACTCACTGCCACACTCACCACCACACTCGCCGCGATACCGCCACACTCGCCGCCACACTCACCGCAGTGCCGCCACACTCACCGCCACACTCACCGCCACACTCGCCGCCACATTCGCCGCCACACTCACCACCACACTCCCCGCCACACTCGCCCTGCGTCTCCCCACGTCTCCTAAAGCCACCCTACGCGTGTCTCCCCCCCGCCGCCTCCCCGGCGTCTCCCAGCGTGGCGGGTGGCGTGGACGCTCGCGAGCGCATGGTGAGCGTCGTGCGCTGGTACCTCTCCTCCTTCCACGCCGGGCGCAAGGGGTCGGTCGCCAAGAAGCCGTACAACCCCATCCTGGGCGAGACGTTCCACTGCCACTGGACGGTGCCCGACCACCACCACCACCACCAGCAGCAGCAGCAGCAGCACGCGGCCGTGCCGGCCGTGCCGGCGGAAGAGACCAGCGTCAGTGCCCCCCACCCCACCCGCCACCACTCCCCCCCTACTACCCTCCCCCCCCACCATTACCTCCCCCCACTCCACCACTCCCCCCTCCCACCACTACCCCCACCACCACTACTCCCCCCCACCACTACCCTCCCCCCATCATTACCTCCCCCCACTCCACCACTCCCCCCTCCCACCACTACTCCCCCCCACCACTACTCCATCCAACCACTACCCTCCCCCCCACCACTACCCTCTCCCACACCACTACCTCACACCACCACTACCATCCCCCCCACTACTACCTCCCCCCACCCCACCACTCCCCCCTCCCACCACTACCCCCTCCCACCACTACCCCCACCACCACCACCCCCAACACCACAACAGTCCCCCACCACGACCCTGCCTCCCCTCCCCCCCACCACTCCCCCCTCCCACCACTACCCCCCCTCCCCACCACCACCGTTCCCCCCCTACCCCATCTCTCCGCCCCCCCCCCGCCCGACCATGGTGCTGGTGTTGATGATGATGATGGTTCTGGCGATGATGGTGGTAGTGATGATGATGATGGTTCTGGCGATGATGGCGCTGGCGATGATGGTGGTAGTGATGATGATGGTGGTAGTGATGATGGTGGTAGTGATGATGATGATGGTTCTGGCGACGATGGCGCTGGCGATGATGGTGGTAGTGATGATGATGGTGGTAGTGATGATGATGATGGTGCTGGCTGTTAATGATGATGATGATGCTGACGACGACGATGATGGTTCTGACGATGGCGACGGCGACGTCACCGCGTGATGTCCCCTCCCTCCAGCAGGAGCTGGCGGCGGACGGGCCGGTCCCGTGGGCGACCAAGGGCAGCGTGACGTTCATTGCGGAGCAGGTGTCTCACCACCCACCCAGTGAGTCGCGCACCGTTCACAAGAGGGGTGCCCACGGTGGCTAGGAGATGTTAACTACCTCGCCTGGTGTACAGGAGGTCGTGGGGTTGCGATCCCGACCCTGACGCGATGCCTGCTGCTGCTGTATATTTGGAGTTTGCGTGTCTCTTTCATCATCATCACGGTGGCTAGGAGATGTTAACTACCTCGCCTGGTGTACAGGAGGTCGTGGGTTCGATCCCGACCTGCTGCTGCTGTATATTTAGAGTTTGCGTGTCTCTTTCATCATCATCACGGTGGCTAGGAGATGTTGACTACCTCGCCTGGTGTACAGGAGGTCGTGGGTTCGATCCCGACCTGCTGCTGCTGCTGTATATTTAGAGTTTGCGCGTCTCTTTCATCATCATCACGGTGGCTAGGAGATGTTGACTACCTCGCCTGGTGTACAGGAGGTCGTGGGTTCGATCCCGACCTGCTGCTGCTGCTGTATATTTAGAGTTTGCGCGTCTCTCTCTCTCTCTCACTCTTCCCGTGGTCGGGTGGATTTTTCTTCGGGGTCCTCCCGGTTTTCCCCTCCACATTTAGAATCGACGTGCGTTCAGACTATTTGGCTGCTATAAATGTCCACGTGACAAGCCACTTTGTTGAGCTATCCTCTGTGGCCTGGTTGCTTCTGAAATAGCGATATAGCTCAAGTGGGCCTTACCTGGTGAAATAAAAATAATAGGAAGACAAAGATTCCCCCGAATAGCCTTGACAGACTGTTGTGGGTAAGCGCTGTTCGCGAGCAGCAGCACCTATGAAGGCCGGCACTGTGGCACACGAGGGGGTGGGTGGCCAGCACCACGCCCGGCCGCCTTTGTCTCCCCAGTGGCGATGTTTTTACACGCGGCACCAGGTACTCATTTGAGGCTGAGTCGACCTAGGGGAGGCCCAGGACCGGCTCAGATATTCGTCACCGGTGTTGGCCGTGAGCCAGAATCGAACCCGTGTCGCCTGGTTCGTGGCTTGGCGCGCTGGCCGCTACACTACCGCTCCCCACATAAACACTTACACAGACACACACACAGACACACACACACAGACACACACAGACAGACTTACACCTGCAACCACGCCACCACCACCACCTCGGCTACACACCTCCGATTAGCACGGTTGGCTACGTTACGGTGCGAAAGAAGTTCAGCGTACATAGGGAAGGCCCGGGACCGTGAGCGCAGCACTACCCCTCCCCACTGTGACACAAGTTGAACATCTTTCGCACTGTACGTAAGCCAACCGTGCTAATTGGAGTTGCGAGGGAAGGGCACCAAACTAAACACAAACAGCAGTTCTCGATGATGAATTAAAATTGCGTAGCTCCAAGTGGCTTCCTTAATGCCAGAAGGAAGAGAGCGTTCCGGACGGCCGCAGAAGCTCATCTGAAACCGCGCGATGATAATGATGCGGTGACCACCACCGACTTTGTTGGACTGTCCAGCCCGCTGCTGCCGCTGCTGCTACTGCAAGGATGATGACCGGCGTTCACGCTCTTTGGTGACGGGTACTGTGATCTTGCAGTACCCGTCACCACGACACGTGCCAAAGTCAATGTGTCACACCGCCGTGTGACACCCCCACCCCCAACCTCCCCCCTCCCTCCCCGAATTCCCCCCACGGCAGTCTCGGCCTTCTACGCGGAGTGCCACTGCAGGAGGATCCAGTTCAACGCTCATATCTGGACCAAGTCCAAGTTCCTGGGCATGTCCATCGGTGTGCACAACATCGGGCAAGGTACTCCCCCCCCCCACCCCTCCCGCCACTCACCGCCGCACTCACACCCCCGCTCGCACTGACAACCACACTCCGACTCACCGCCACACTCGCCACCACGCTCCCACCCACCGCCGCACTCACTGCCACCGCACTCGCACCGCCGCCGCGCTCGCACTCACCGCACTCGCTCCGTGTGTGTGCGCCGGCAGGCTGCGTCTCTCTGCTGGATCACGACGAGGATTACATCATCACCTTCCCCAACGGATACGGACGGTACGGAGTTGCGCGCACACACGCACTCGCACGCACGCACGCATTCCCGCGACAGCCTACGCCCCGGTGGGTGTCCGGTCTAAGTGTGTCCAGCGTGATGCGTGAGGTCACGGTTAGTGCACGAGCCCACTGACTACCATATAGAATACACGCTACACTACACACTACTCTACACGACACATTACATGACATCATACACGACACGTTACACTACGCATTACACAACACATTACACTACACAAAACTTGACACTCTACACATTCATACTCTTTGGTTCTATTCGGTAAAGTCACGTAGGTAAAAAAATAAAACAACAAAAATCACGACGTTTCGGCCACAACACAAGCGGCCTTCATCAGGTGAAGGGATCAAGCTGTCTCGAGGATGAGCCTGATCCCTTCACCTGATGAAGGCCGCTTGTGTTGTGGCCGAAACGTCGTGATTTTTGTTGTTTTATTTTTTACCTACGTGACTTTACCGAACAGAACCAAAGAGTATGGATCCTTGCAGTCACGAAAGCTTTAAATCTAGAACTCTACACATTACACTACACTACACACTACTCCACACACTACACACACTACACACAACGCGACACGATACACTGGAATACGCTCCTCCTGACGACACTGGGGCGCCGCTGGAGCTACGCACTTCTCAGTCATCTCGATGGGAAGCTCACTTCCTGTTAGAACTCCATTTTTGTGTTGAGTTTTGTTTTGCTCGCCGCCGCACCTCCGATGAACACGGCTTGGCTACGACGTTCGCTGCAATAAGACGTTCAACGTACACACGCACACAGCAGCTACGTACACAGCAGCTACACACACAGCTACCCTACCCTACCACGGTGCAGCTACGTACACAGCGGCTACACACACAGCTACCCTACCCTGGTGCAGCTACGTACAGAGCGGATACACACACAGCAGCTACACACACAGCAGCTACACACACAGCAGCTACCCTACCACGGTGCAGCTACGCACACAGCGGCTACACACACAGCTACCCTACCATAGTGCAGCTACGTACACAGCGGCTACACACACAGCTACCCTACCACGGTGCAGCTACGTACAGAGCTGCTACACACACAGCTACCCTACCCTGGTGCAGCTACGTACACAGCGGCTACACACACAGCTACCCTACCCTGGTGCAGCTACGTACAGAGCGGCTACACACACAGCTACCCTACCCTGGTGCAGCTACGTACAGAGCGGCTACACACACAGCTACCCTACCCTGGTGCAGCTACGTACACAGCGGCTACACACACAGCTACCCTACCCTGGTGCAGCTACGTACAGAGCGGCTACACACACAGCTACCCTACCCTGGTGCAGCTACGTACACAGTGGCTACCCTACCACGGTGCAGCTACGCACACAGCGGCTACACACACAGCTACCCTACCCTGGTGCAGCTACGTACACAGCGGCTACCCTACCACGGTGCAGCTACATACACAGCTACCCTACCACGGTGCAGCTACACACACAGCAGCTACCCTACCACGGTGCAGCTACATACACAGCTACCCTACCTTGGTGCAGCTACACACACAGCGGCTACCCTACCACGGTGCAGCTACATACACAGCAGCTACCCTACCACGGTGCAGCTACGTACACAGCGGCTACCTTACCCTGGTGCAGCTACACATACAGCGGCTACACACACAGCTACCCTACCCTGGTGCAGCTACGTACACAGTGGCTACCCTACCATAGTGCAGCTACGCACACAGCGGCTACACACACAGCTACCCTACCCTGGTGCAGCTACGTACACAGTGGCTACCCTACCACGGTGCAGCTACGCACACAGCGGCTACCCTACCATAGTGCAGCTACGCGCACAGCGGCTACACACACAGCTACCCTACCCTGGTGCAGCTACGTACACAGTGGCTACCCTACCACGGTGCAGCTACGTACACAGTGGCTACCCTACCATAGTGCAGCTACACACACAGCTACCCTACCCTGGTGCAGCTACACACACAGCTACCCTACCCTGGTGGAGCTACACACACAGCGGCTACCCTACCCTCGCGCGTCGTGTTGGCCGTTGTAGGTGCTCGGTAACAGCACTTGCCCCAACAGTCCATTAAGGCTATACGGGGCGGGTGGGGTGTGGCTCTTTGTCTTTTTGCCAGGTCTATCCTGACGGTGCCGTGGGTGGAGCTGGGAGGGGAGTGCACAATCAGCTGCGCAAAGTCGGGCTTCACGGCCACCGTCAACTTCCACACCAAGCCCTTCTATGGGGGCTCCAAGCACCGCATCAGCGCGGAAATCCTGTACGGCATCACGCGGCCCTCGCCGCTGGGCACATGGCACTCGGCACACGGCACTTGGCACCCGCAACTCGGCAAACAGCCATCGGCACGCGGCGCTCATCACCACAACGCATTCCGCGGTGAAACGACGCCAGGGATGCGCGTTGGCACGTCGTATTGGCAGACTCCACACTCGCTTACAATGCTTCGGCCAGTTGTTCTTCACAAGCCGTGCGAGGGAGAGAGAGAGTTTTGTTGTTGTTGTTGTTGTTGTTGCGTGACGCTGCCACAGCTCCCCGAACGAGAAGAAGCCCTTTGTGTCGATCGAGGGCGAGTGGAACGGCACTATGCACGCCAAGTGGAGCACGGGGGTCAGTGCGTGGGGACACGCTGGGACACACACGGGGTCGGGGACACACACGGGGTCGGGGACACACACGGGGTCGGGGACACACACGGGGTCGGGGACACACACGGGGTCGGGGACACACACGGGGTCGGGGACACACACGGGGTCGGGGACACACACGGGGTCGGGGACACACACGGGGTCGGGGACACACACGGGGTCGGGGACACACACGGGGTCGGGGACACACACGGGGATGGAGGATACGTGCGGACACGCACGGGGACACACGCAGGCAAACGCGGGGATGCACGCGGGACACACGGGGACAGAGACAGACAGGGATGCACACATCGGCACTGGGGAGACAAAGTTGGCCGAGCCTGGTGCTGGCCACCCACCCCGTCGTGTGCCGTGCCAGCCTTCATAGGTGCTACTTGCTCACGGTACTTGCCCCAACAGTCTGTTAAAACTATACGGGGGGGTCTTTGTATTTTTCTCGAACTTTGTCTGGGTGAGGTACTGTGGGGAGCGGTGGTGCAGCGGTTAGCGCTACGCTGCGCTACGAAGCACGGCTACCCGAGTTCGATAACCCGCTCACGGCGAACACCGGCGACGATTATCTGAACCGGTCCGGGGCCTCCCCGAGGTCGTAGACTCTGTACCTTTTTGCGGTGTGTGTGTGTAGTAAGCATCGTCACTTAGAGAGAGACAAAGGCGTCCGGGCGGGCGTGGTGCTGGCCACCCACCCCACCCACCCATGTCGTGTTACCGTGCCGGCCTTCGTTGGTGCTCGCCGCTTGTTAGCAGCACTTGCCCCAGCGGCCTGCGTGCCTAACTGGGGGGGGTGGGGGAACTTTACCTTTGCGTGGCAGGAGAGCAGCGTCTTTGTGGACACCAAATCCATTCCCATCACCAAGAAGAAGGTGCGGAGGATCGAGGACCAGGGAGAGTTCGAGTCACGGCGGTAAGCCGGGCCTCCTCCTGCCCGCTCGGTCGACTCGGCCTCAAATGAGTGTCCGGTGGAGCCTCGCCGTGGGGAGAGCCGGGGGACACGCGCGGTTGCGCCGAGGTGCTCGCGTCCGCGATGGTGGTGGCGGTGGTGGTGGTAGTGGTCATGGTGGTGGTCGTGGTGGTGATGATAGTGGTGGTGACGGTGGTGGCGGTCGTGGTGGTGGTGATGATGGTGATGGTGGCGGTCGTGGTGGTGGTGATTGTGTGGTTGTGGTGGTGGTGGTGGCGGTGGAGGCAGTCGTGAAGGTGCGGGGGGCGGTTATGACGCTGCGCTACGAACCCGGCGACCCGCTCATGGCCACAAACACCGGCGTGCCGATTGTCGGCCTCAATTGAGCACCGAGGGGTGGACGCATCGAGGTTGACCCGGACCGTCCACCTTAAGTCCCGCCTGGCCTAAAATGTACTTCTGGTTGTGGTCTCTCCTAAGTCACCTCGGCCGTAAATGAGTGCCCAGTGAGTGCATATCACACTTGAACTAAACTTCGTGTTTAGCGTATTTTTTTTACTATTTTTAATTTATCCGATACGGCCCACTGAGCTATGTAGCGCCTTTTCAGACGCGACTTCGCCACAAACGATAGTTCAACGACGTGGCTCATCATCATCATCATCGTGTGGTCATTTTTAGCAGCAGCCGAATACTCTAAACGCGTGACGTCGATTCTAAATGTGGAGGGAAAAACCGAAGGAACCAAAGAGAAATCCACAGGGAGAGAGGAGAGAGAGAGAGAGACGCAAACTCCAAATATACAGCAGCAGGCATTTTCTGGGTCGGGATCGAACCCACGACCTCCTGCATACCAGGCGAGGTAGTCAACATCTCTTAGCCACCGTGACGACGATGATGAGAGAGAGAGAGAGACACGCAAACTCCAAATATACAGCAGCAGCAGGCATTTTCTGGGTCGGGATCGAACCCACGTCCTTCTGCGTACCAGGCGCGGGAGATAACCGCGGCTGTCGTGGTGTTGCCGCAGGCTGTGGCGTGACGTGACGAGCAGCCTCAAGGCGGGAGACATCGACCGCGCGACCGACGCCAAGCACCACCTGGAGGAGCAGCAGCGGGCGGAGGCGCGCGGGCGCAAGGAGAGCGGGGATGCCTGGCGCACCAAGGTACTCGCGCCCGCGGTGGTGGCGGTGGTGGCGGTGGTGGCGGTGACAGTGGTGGTGGTTGCGGCAGTGGTGGTTGCGGCAGTGGTGGTGGCGACGACGGTGGTGGTGGCGGCAGCGGTGGTGGCGGTGATGGTGATGGTGGCGTGGTGGTGGTGACGACGGTTGTCGTGGTGATGAGACAAAGGCGGTCGGGCGTGGTGCTGGCCACCCACCTCCTCGTGTACCGTTCCTGCCTTCATAGGTGCTCGCTAACAGCACTTGCCCCTACAGTCTGTTAAGGCTATACAGGGGATCTTTGGTGGTGACGGTGACGGTGGTGATAGTGGTGATGATTGTGGTAGTGATGGTGACGGTGGTGATAGTGGTGATGATTGTGGTAGTGATGGTGGTGGTGGAGGTGGTGGTGAAGGTGGTGATAGTGGTGGTAATTATGGGGCGCAGCACTGCAGTGCTTCGTGGACCGCGCTACAAACGTGGCCCCCCAAGTTGGATTCCCACTCACAGCCAACATCGGTGACGAATAGCTGAATTGGTGACTTGGTTTCCCATTGGTTAATTCGGCTTTAAAAATGAGCACCTGGTGCTGCGTGTAAACATCGCCACTGGGGAGACAAACGCGGCCGGGCGTGGCGTTGTCCACCCACCCCCCTCTCGCGTGCCGTGCTGCCTTTCATAGGCGCTGCTGCTACTCGCTAACAGCACTTGCCCCGACAGTCTGTTAGAGGCTACAGGGGGATCTTTGTCTTTGTCTCCTTCATAGGCGCTGCTGCTACTCGCTAACAGCACTTGCCCCGACAGTCTGTTAGAGGCTACACGGGGGATCTTTGTCTTTGTCTCCTTCATAGGCGCTGCTGCTACTCGCTAACAGCACTTGCCCCGACAGTCTGTTAGAGGCTACACGGGGGATCTTTGTCTTTGTCTCCTTCATAGGCGCTGCTGCTACTCGCTAACAGCACTTGCCCGGACAGTTTGTTGAGGCTATGCGGGGGTGGGGGGGATCTTTGTCTCTTTGTCTCTGTGTAGTTATTCCACGAGGATGGAGAGTGCTGGATTTATGACAACCCGCTCATCAAGAGGCTGGCGCCGGCTCAGGAGTGACAGAGAACACGCCAACACGCCACGTATCGTTACACCCCGATGTAAACTATACACTTTGTTTTTATTTTACCAGGCAAGGCCCCACTGAGCGATGTAGCTCTTTTTTTTCAGACACGACCTGGCCATCACAAACGATAGCTCAACCAAGTGGCTCATCATCATCGCGTGGAAATTTCCAGTAGCCAAATACTCCTAAACACGTGACGTTGAATCTGAACGTGGAAGGGGAAAAACCGGAGGACCCCGGAGAAAAATCCACGCGACCACCACGGGGAGAGAGAGAGAGAGCAGGCATTGTCAGGGGTCGGGATCGAACCCACGACCTCCTGTACACCAGGCGAGGTAGTGTGCGGTGACGGCACGCAACGTGTGTGCCGTCACCACACACAACGTGATGCACCACTCGAACTAGGCACCCCTAGCTACCGCTACGCTTCGCAGCAGACAGCAAGCTTAGCAACGCACCCCGACCTCATCCCAACATCACAACGCTCGCCACCGTTACGCGACTCGCTACTAACAGCACTCGCCTTCCCGTGTGGCCTTCAAAAGCCTGTTCAAGGCTACACGGGGGGGGGGGGGGCGGGCGATCTTTGTCGCCAATATTCCAGAGTCGCCCCACGCGCGCCTTCGAGGAAGGCGGCCTCGGGTGGAGAGACCATTCCTGTCGCCAACCCAACCCCGGGCACGGGCGCGCGATCCGTCCGGTGAATGTTTCGCAGCGCTCGGTCTATAAATCTCGACCGAAAATATCGTCGTCGGTTTCGTCGTCGCCGCCGCCGCCATCACTTACAGCTTCCTCACCCCCCCGCCCCCCGTGAACGCAGCGAGAGAGAGAGAGAGAGCAAGGATCGTGTGCGCGTGCGTCCAACGACCAAAGTGGTTGACGCTAAAAGTTTATTTGCGTGTAAAAAAAAAAAAAGCCGTCGGTTGCCGCGCGTGCCGAAGCGACGGTGGTAGCACCACCGCCGCTTTCGCCGTCCTCGTCGGCCGTGGTCGATCCGGAGTCGCGGAATTCCGAGCTTCGCTGTCGCTTGCCCACCCGATTTCTGATGCACGGTAGATTCGGCGAACTGCCAATCGCCCTTGAATGTATAATTAACCTGTTCAAAATTAATATGCAAATAAAATGCATTCAGTGTATTCTGCAGATACTGAACTGTGTTCCTGATTACTTTGTTGTTATTAAAATTATTATTGCGAAGGTGAGTCTGGTCAGTTGGTCTATAGTATTTAGAGATCCAATCAGAGACCGGTCAGTCAGTCTATAGTATCTAGAGATCCAATCAGAGACCGGTCAGTCAGTCTTTTGTCTAAAGATCAAATCTGAGACTGGTCAGTCAGTCTATTGTCTAGAGATCCAATCAGAGACCAGTCAGTTTATTGTCTAAAGGTCAAATCAGAGACCGGTCAGTCAGTCTATTGTCTAGAGATCCAATCAGAGACCGGTCAGTCAGTCTATTGTCTAAAGGTCAAATCAGAGACCGGTCAGTCAGTCTATTGTCTAGAGATCCAATCAGAGACCAGTCAGTCTATTGTCTAAAGATCAAATCTGAGACCGGTCAGTCAGTCTATTGTCTAGAGATCCAATCTGAGACCGGTCAGTCAGTCTATTGTCTAGAGATCCACTCAGAGGCTAATCAGTTCCAGTGCTCTGTGAATGGTCCAGAGATCCCATCAAGAAACCGGTGAGGCCGTCGATGTCGAGACCCCATCAAACACCGCTCTCTCGGTCTCTGTTGATGTCTCTAGACAAAAGTGGTGGTGTGGGGGAATCCTGCCCACGTGACCCCTCCGTTTGCCATACGCCCGGTCTCCGACTTCCCACGACCCACGTTCACCTTTGACGAAGCCCTGTTACCACGTGGCTGATTAAAAAAAAAGTTGAGAGGAGGGGGGGGGGATAATAAGACCCCACGTCGGTAAGTGATGATGGTGTCTGACGTAACCTCAATCGGGGGGGGCTGACACTTTTGAATCTCACGCAGGACGTCTGCTGAAAAAAGAGCTTTACAGCTCATCGGCTTTCTGACCTTGTGTGTCGCCGCACATTGCGGTGCAATTCCACGCATTGCGCGGCAGACGGCGGCACAACGAGGCAATGGATATGCGGTTACTGACAAATACGTTGCCCACAGGGGCACACAGGCACACAATCAATTGGTTACATTCTTGGTGTGATGGTAAAAGTCTTACCCACCACTCCGCTTTCGCCACCGCCTCGTGTAGCAAACATTGCAAAGAAATTACGTAAAAAAAAATATTTTGTAAAAAAAAAATCGCGTTGCGATGGCCGGGAATCGAACCCGGGTCAACTGCTTGGAAGGCAGCTATGCTCACCACTATACCACCATCGCTGTACAGGGTGGAGCCATTCCATGAATTCTATTTATACCTCATACACCGGTACGGTGATTACCTATTGGGTTACATCACGGAATTATAGATTCGTGTACATTACAGTTATCGCACTATTGCGTGCTGCGTTTACAATCATTGTTATGAATAATTGCGTTTGCATATAAACGTGGCTGTCCTTTTAACACACTGCCCTCATGAAAGTAACGTGGGATGTTTTGATTTATTTATATATACCGTACAACGGATACATTTTTTTAATGTTACGTAAAAACGTAATATATCATTTAACGATACACGTGTTCCGCGTTAGATACATAAGTATTGATGACGGGGGTATCGTGCAGATGCCTCGTTAGCGCAGTAGGTAGCGCGTCAGTCTCATAATCTGAAGGTCGTGAGTTCGATCCTCACACGGGGCATTGTTGTTTTTTCAATTATATTTTCATTCTTTTTTAAAAATAACAACATATGCTATTTGTTTTACACGTGCCCTTATAAACGTTAAACCGCTTATAAGTACGCATGTCAATTAAATCGTCGTTGGGAGTTATACAGCTGGTGGTGCAGTCATCTCAGTCACTGTGCTCCGACCGCGCGCGATGACGCGTCGACGTCATCGCGCGCTGGCGGGACCCGTCGACGTCATCGCGCGCTGGCCGGACGCGTCGACATCATCGCGCGCTGGCGGGACGCGTCGACGTCACCGCGCGCTGGCGGGACGCGTCGACGTCATCGCGCGCTGGCGGGACGCGTCGACGTCATCGCGCGCTGGCGGGGCGCGTCGACGCCTGCGCGCGATGACGTCGCCGCGTTCCGTTGTCGACGCGTCACGCCAGCGCGCGATGACGTCGCGCGTTCCGACCGTGCGTTTCTAAGGTTCCCCTCTCCCCCGATCCACCGCCCCCCCCACCACACCTCCCACCCCCCTCTCAACTCGCCATCGCCACTACGATGTGGAGGTAAATAAGGTGACGAGCGAGGAGGGCATCCGCGATGTTGCAGTCGAACAAGAAGAAGAAGCAGCGACTCAACCGGAGCGTGATGCTCGCCAAGAAGCTCATCATCAAGGACGGCGGCACGGTGAGGCTCTTTCGTCGTTTTAATTTTTTGTTTAAAAAAATGAAGAGCGGGACGGTTTTGTTGTTGTTGTTGCTGTTGTTGTTGTTGCTCCCCCCGGAGCATTTTCCCCTGCCCGTCCGTTCGTTCGCCGCCGCAGTCGTCGTCGTCGTCGAGTCCGGCTTCTTGGGCCTCCGTCGATGCGGCCTCGGTCTTTCCTAGCGCGGCTCTGCCTGGTCGAGGTGCGCGGCGAGCCGGGGCCAACGGGGAGAGGAGGGGGGGGGGTGGGGAGGAGGCCCACAGCTTGGAACCCGCAGACGTCGGGAATCGTCGGGCAGGCCTTAGTGGAGGTGTTTGGAAAGACGCTGTGAATAAATGTAAACACGATTATAACAACAACAGCCTCAGAGAGAGAGATATTTCTGTCAAATTTTCTCCTCCCACACAACTCGGGAGCAACTTTGTTTTGAGGCGAGGGGGGAAGGGAGGGAGGGAGTCTCTCTGTTTAGTCTGAGTCGACCTAGACGAGGTGCTGAGGGAGTGATTCCATACGACTTGTGAGGAGGTACACACGCGCCTGTCAACCCCCTTATCAGTGCCGACCTTATTGCAGATCAACTAAAACCTTAGTGGTCACCCCGTGCCCTTATAACCATCAACGTCAACACTACTATACACTACTATACACTACACTATACACTACACTACTATACACTACTATACACTACACTACTATACACTACACTACTATACACTACACTACTATACACTCCACTACTATACACTACACTACTATACACTACACTACTATATACTACTATACACTACACTATACACTACTATACACTACACTATACACTACTATACACTACACTACTATACACTACACTACTATACACCACTACTATACACTACACTACTATACACTACACTACTATACACTACACTACTATACACTACACTACTATACACTACACTACTATACACTACACTACTATACACTACACAATACACTACACTACTATAGACTACACTACTATACACTACACTACTATAGACTACACTACTATACACTACACTACTATACACTACACTATACACTACTATACACTACACTACTATACACTACACTATACACTACTATACACTACACTACTATACACTACACTACTATACACTACACTACTATACACTACACTACTATACACTACACTACTATACACTACACTACTATACACTACACTATACACTACTATACACTACACTATACACTACTATACACTACACTACTATACACTACACTACTATACACTACACTACTATACACTACACTACTATACACTACACTACTATACACTACACTACTATACACCACTACTATACACTACACTACTATATACTACTATACACTACACTACTATACACTACACTACTATACACTATACTACTATACACTATACCACTATACACTACACTACTATACACTACACTACTATACACCACACTACTATAGACTACACTAATATACACGTCAGGATTCATTCCACTATACACACTACACTATACACACTACACTATACTGTACACTACTACACACCTGTCAACCCCTTATCACTATACACTACACTACCTTACTACAGACCAACCCAGACCGTATTGGTCACCCCGTGCCCCTTATAAATCTCGACGTTCAGCCTACAAAGTTCCATCACAAGGAGAGAAACACAAACACACAGACACAAAAAAATGTTCTTGCCCGAATTGAAACGTCTGTAACGCTGCCGTGTGGACCTGAAAACTCAATTTCCCTGTACAAGACTACAGAGTAAACCGTGTGGGTTGACACGATATGGGTAACGAGGTCTTATTTCACGTCTTAATCGACCTCAAGGAAGTACAGCCGACACTAAATTTTTTATGCTGAGTGGACCCCAGATGAGTGCGGGGGGGGGAAGGGGAAGTTCTTAACCAGATGCTTATTTCAGGCTGAATAGACCTAGAGGAGGCCTTCACCGAGCGAGGACATCCGAGAGGAGTTGCTGCTCGCTGGATTTGACATTTTTCAGCCGAGTTGACCTGCAAGCGGTGTAGCCAATCATCCACTTCGCAGGGTAGTCGACGGTGGTTGCTCGTACAAAGAGACTCGTCCCCCGCCCTGGGAATGTGGAGTTGCCACCACCGCTTAGCGAACCGGTCGGCTTCCGCATTTTGCAAACAAAAATTGAAATACCTCCGTGGACAACAAGAAAGAACGGACGTTGTTTGACAGCTGTTGTACAGAGCAGTGAGAATACTATCGGCTCCGCACACTATTTTTTATTTATTGTTGCACGTGCATGCTGGCGGTCGTTTCTCTCGGTCAATGGCCACAATTGTACACGAGGCCAAAGCGAGTGTCAACATTCGTGAACCAGAACGCTGTGGGTGCTAGGATGCATGGGTAAATGACATACAGTGAGGGAAAAAAGTATTTGATCCCCTGATGATTTTGTACGTTTGCCCACTGACAAGGAAATGATCAGTCTGTCATTTTAATGGTAGGTTTGTTTGAACAGTGAGAGGCAGAATAACAACAACAGAAATCCAGAAAAACGCATGTCAAAAATGTTATAAATTGATTTGTATTTTAATGAAGGAAATACGTATTTGACCCCCTCTCAATCATAAAGATTTCTGGCTCCAAGGTGTCTTTTATACAGGTAACGAGCTGAGATTAGGATCACACTCTTAAAGGGAGTGCTCCTAATCTCAGCTTGTTACCTGTATAAAAGACACCTGTCCACAGAAGCAATCAATCAATCAAATTCCAAACTCTCCACCATGGCTAAGACCAAAGAGCTCTCCAAGGATGTCAGGGACAAGATTGTAGACCTACACAAGGCTGGAATGGGCTGCAAGACCATTGCCAAGCAGCTTGGTGAGAAGGTGACAACAAGTTGGTGCGATTATTCGCAAATGGAACAAACACAAAAGAATGGTCAATCTCCCTCGGCCTGGGGCTCCATGCAAGATCTCACCTCGTGGAGTTGCAATGATCATGAGAACGGTGAGGAATCAGCCCAGAACGACACGGGAGAATCTTGTCAATTCTTGGTGACCATAGTCACCAAGAAAACAATTGGTAACACACTACGCCGTGAAAGACTGAAATCCTGCAGCACCCGCAAGGTTCCCCTGCTCAAGAAAGCACATATACATGCCCTCTGAAGTTTGCCAGTGAACATCTGAATGATTCAGAGGACAACTGGGTGAAAGTGTTGTGGTCAGATGAGACCAAAATTGAGCTCGTTGGCATCAACTAAACTCGCCGTGTTTGGAGGAGGAGGAATGCTGCCTATGACCCCAAGAACACCATCCCCACCGTCAAACATGGAGGTGGAAACATTATGCTTTGGGGGTGTTTTTCTGCTAAGGGGACAGGACAACTTCACCGCATCAAAAGGACGATGGACGGGGCCATGTACCGTCAAATTTGGGTGAGAAACCTCCTTCCCTCAGCCAGGGCATTGAAAATGGGTCGTTGATGGGTATTCCAGCATGACAATGACCCAAAACACACGGCCAAGGCAACAAAGGAGTGGCTTAAGAAGAAGCACATTAAGGTCCTGGAGTGGCCTAGCCAGTCTCCAGACCTTAATCCCATAGAAAATCTGTGGAGGGAGCTGAAGGTTCGAGTTGCCAAACGTCAGCCTTGAAACCTTAATGACTTGGAGAAGATCTGCAAAGAGGAGTGGGACAAACTCCCTCCTGAGATGTGGTCAAACTTGGTGGCCAACTACAAGAAACGCCTGACCTCTGTGATTGCCAACAAGGGTTTTGCCACCAAGTACTAAGTCATGTTTTGCAGAGGGGTCAAATACTTATTTCCCTCATTAAAATGCAAATCAATTTATAACATTTTTGACATGCGTTTTTCTGGATTTTTTGTTGTTATTCTGTCTCTTACTGTTCAAATAAACCTACCATTAAAATTATAGACTGATCATTTATTTGTCAGTGGGCAAACGTACAAAATCAGCAGGGGATGAAATATTTTTTTCCCTCACTGTACCGTGTCAACTCGTACGGTTTACCCCGTATTCTTGTACAGGGAAATTTGGTTTTCAGGTCCATACTGCGGCATTACAGCCTGCTGTATATTTGGAGTTTGCGTGTTTCTCTACACGTGGTCATGTGGATTTTACTCCGGGGTCCTGTTTTTCCCCCTCCAAATTTACATTAAACGTCACGCGTTTAAGAGTGTTTGGCCCGCTATAAATTCCCACATGATGATGATGATAAGCCCACTTCGTTGAGCTATCATTTGTGATAGCCAGGTCGCTTCTGAAAAAGAGCTATAGAGCTCGTTGGGCCCTTAACCTGGGTAAATAAGAAAAAAATGCTTAGATTTTTTTATTGTTTAAATGAGAAAATACATTTCTTGTGGAATGTAGTTGAGGTGGTTCCCACTGGAACTTTACCGGGCAGCCTTGTCTCGTAGTGTAGTAGTGTATCTTCCAGTATCTTACAGTGTAGTAATGTATCGTAGTGTATCGTGTAATTAGTGCTAGTCTGTCGCCAGGGAAAGGGAGGTGAGGACCACCACTACTCAACATGCTGCTGCCACTGCGACTCTCACCAGGGCAAGCGGACTGAGAAAGGGAACGAACGAATTTCCCGTGGTGTCAAAAATATTGTGTCCGTGTGGCGCTTCATATGCCGGGCCTGTCGCTTCGTCCAGTGGTGGATATTTCCTCGTGCACTTTTGCCGGGGGCGGGCCCAAATATCGCGATAATTTTACGATAGTTTCTGTGACAGTGGAAGCTCGGTAAATATTGGCTCGGCTTCAATAAACCGGCCAGGTGGCTCGCAAACGGAAGGTTGCGAGTTCAAATCCTGGAGAGGGAGGGACGGAGGGAGGTTTACTTGCTCCTCCATCATTCCCCTCCCAGGGTCGATAAAAATTAGTACGGCACCACTTTTCGGGGGAAGTCCACAATGCCTGCCCCATGAATAGACTCACGTCCCGCATTGCCACAGGAGCACTGTGGCAATGCCCATTTTTAGCAAAATTGCCCAATGACAACGGCCGACAGACGCAGAAATGCCATTTTACCGGCTTATTTATTAGGATGTTGGAACGTTTCGACCGGCTATCTGTGACGTTACGTTTGTGGCGATTCAGCGACACTCCTACGATCCCGTGTGTCTTATCGTCCGCTTCGCAAAGCATCGTTATACCCGTGATTTATTGTTGTTAAACGATTGCATTGAATTGCTGACACTATTCCTGAAATAGGTTCAGTCAATAAGTGAAAATTGACAATCACATCCTCGAAGACACTACTCGTATAACCATCAGCTCACTGACTCACTCTCCCAGTCACCCACTCAGCACTGGTGCAACCATCAACTCCCTCACTCACCCAGTCACCCACCGACTCAACATTGGTGCAGCCATCAACTGCATCAGAACATCAGCAACGGTCCAATGTGCACATCTCCTTAATGAATGGAAAATTAAAGCAAGCCACAGTAATGCGGTTGTGGCCATGCAACTCCAAACTATTGACCGTACAGTAAACCCGTAGAGACTTACGGAGATACAGAGACCCATAGAGAGCCAACGAGACAAACAGAGATTCATAGACGTGCATTAAAGACAAGCCACAGTATTGCGGCTTTGTCCATGCAACCCAAACTATGGACCATTTCGGAACCCATGTAGTCTGAACTTTTTCAACGTAGGAGGAATAGCACTTTTGAATATAATTAATCGTAAAATAAACCATTAATCTTTTTAATTTACCAGGTAAGGCCCACTGAGCTGTATAGCTGTTTTTCTGAAGCGACCTGGCTATCACAAATGATAGCTCAACGAAGTGTGGCTTATCATCATCTCACGTGGAAATGTATTGCAGCCAAATCCTCTAAAACTCGTGATGTTGATTCTAAATGTGGAGGGAAAAACCGGACGACACGGAGAAAAATCCATGCGACCACCACGGGGAGAGAGACACGCAAACTCCAAATAGACAGCAGGTGTCAGGGGTTGGGATCGAACCCACGACCACCTGTATACCTGGCGAGGTAGTTAACATCTCGCCACGTGCGTCTCACGACCATTGTGCACCTCTTGAAATACTGAGTATATTTGGAGTTTGGTGTCTCTCACTCATCATTATCATGGTGGCTAGGAGATGTTAACTACCTCGTCTTGTATGGAGGGGGTCGTTCCAGGTGCGATCCCAACCCTGATGCTTGCTATATATTTGGAGTTTGTGGTGTCTGTCTCTCTCCCCGCGGTGTTTGCGTGGATTTTTCTTCCGGCGCTCCGGTTTTTCTCTCCACATTTCGAATCGACGTCACGCGTTTAGAGTATTTGGCTGCTATACATTTCCATGTGATAACGATAAGCCCACTTCGTTGTGGCTACCATTTGTGGGCAGATTGCTTCTGAAAAAGAGCTACTATATATAGCTCAGTGGGGCCTTGCCTAACAATATAAAAAATAGTTTAAAATAGTAAAAATAGTCGAGGTCGGAACACTTATGTATGGCGTCGCTGGTTAGCTGAGGAGGCATGGCTGAGCCCCACTTACGAGTGGCTGGGATTGGCCGAAATTGGTGCCACCGCGTGCACAGGGTAAGCGTACCGTTAGTCAACATGTTAACGTCAGTCGAAACCCATGGGTGTCCTATGGGAGGCGAAACGTTAACCGAAGAACCGTTAACCCGATGTCACCGTTAACCGAGGGAATACTGTATAGCCTATAACAGACTGTTTCGGCAAATTATGTTGGCGAGCGCCGATTAAGGCTGGCACACGAGGGGGTGGGCGGCCAGTACTACGTCCAGCCGCTTTTGCCTCCCCAATGCTGATGTTGAGATTATTAAAAGAACAATTTTGTCTGCTGTAAATGTCAAAATGATGGGCCACTTAGTTGCGCTATCATTTTGTGATAGCCAGGTCGCTTCTGAAACATAAGTGAATGCCTTAGTGGGCTTGGCCTGGTTGGATGGGGATGGTTTTAGTGTTGTGTTTGTCTTTGTTTGGGTGATTTGTTTACCTATCCTGTACTTTGCACCCCTATCACGTGTCTATGTACTGTTTGTTTGTTATAACGTTCTTACCCCATGCCCCTTCTGGACATCTGAGAAAAAGCGCTTTATAAGCTCATTGGATTCCTCCAGTATAAATAAGTATTCTGATGATGATACAAACAACACCATTTTAAGGCCGAGGTACTAATGTTAAGCTTGATGAACGTTCAAAGAGTACACCTGTAATACGTCGTGAGAATTTTATTGTTTTATATTTTTATTATTTTATTAATTCCCTTCTACGTGACTTTACCGAAAGAACCAAGAATATGAATCCCTGCAGTCACTAAAGCTTTAAATCAAAATTTACACCTGTAATGTTACGTAAAACATGTTCCTAAATTTATTTCAAAACAGAGTGTATGCATGCGTTCGTGTCAATAGAGGTCAGTTTGAAAATTTGTTAAAAGTTAAATGCAATAATCCTACGTGATTTGATGAAATAAATATAATTAAAACTAAACAATTTTTGATTTACTGAGCTCTTTTTCAGAAGCAACGTGACCATCAAATGATGGCACAACGACGTGGCTTATCATCACGTGGACCCGCACACAGAGACCCATAGAAACCCATAGAAACCCATAGACTCATCACACAGAGACCCATAGAAACCCATAGACTCATCACACAGACCTATACAAACCCATACACTCATCACACCAGAGACCCTTGGACTCGCACACTGCATCATGTGCTTTCAGATGCGCTTCTGCCATATGGAAGTAGTATTTATCGCGTGACGGTCTAGCCTCCGCCTCTCTGTCTGTGTGTGCGTGGGGAGCGGTAGCGGTTAGCGTGCTGCGCTCACGGCCAACATCGGTGTGTAAAAACATCGCCACTGGGGAGACAAAGGCGGCCGGGCGTGGTGCTTACCACCCACCCCCTCGTGTGCCGTGCCGGCCTTCATAGGTGCTACTCGCTAACAGCACTTGCCCCTACAACAGTCTGTTAAGATTACACGGGGGATCTTTGTCTTTTGTGCGCGTGCGTGTGTGTGTGTGTGTGTGCGTGTGTGTGTGTGTGCGCGTTGCGTGCGTGTGTGCATTTAGCCCCAGGGGTTTGGACAGCCGAGTGTGTACCACGCTGTCATCGTCATCTTCCTTGAGTTCTTCGCATGGGGCCTCCTCACGGCCCCCACGCTCACGGTGAGACGGCCCTCCCCTCCTCGGCCGTGTTGTCATCATCGTCGTTGTTGTCATCATCATCGTTGACGTCGTTGTCGTTATCATTGTCGTCATCGTTGTCGACGTCATCATCATCATCACCATAGTGGTTGTCACTGCCATCGCTGTTAAGCTTACCAGTACCTGCAGTCGGGCTACTACCGCCGTCATCGCTGCCATCACTGACAGCACCGTTATTGTCGTCTGTTGTTATTGGCATCATTGCCATCGTCATCCGCATCATCGCTATCACTACCATCACCATTGGCAGTGTCATCAACTGAATGTCACTGCCGCCACCATCGCTGCTGTCGCTAACAGCAGCGTCACTGTCACTGCTATCATCGACATCTTTGCCATCATCATCATCAGCAGTCTCACTACAACCGCCATCAGCAGCAGCACCATCTCTTCGATCACTGCTGCCATCGTCACGCTCGTCTTAACGCCATCATCGTCACCATCATCATCGCCATCACTGGCACTACCAACCTCAGTACCACTGGTCACCGCTATTACCGCACCACTACCGCCATAATAAAATAGCATAATTAATTAACAATATCCTGGTACTGAACGCTGTCACGCTAAAATACTATCAGCAATGTTATCACCATCGGCGACATCAGCACCACGGTATATTCCATCGTCCGCGGCATGGTTGAGATCACCGCTACCGCTGTAAAACCTCCACCGTCACCACCGTCGTAGAATACCATCACTCGCTAATGTCAACTACCCCCGCCACCATCCGCATTCATCACCGACACTGCTACCGTCACCACCACAACGCCACCTGCATCAACGCCACCACCAAAACTACCACCACCATCTGTATAATCAACAACGCCATTGCCGCCGCCACCACCACCACCACCTTTGTCACTGTCGCATAAGTGGGATTCCACAGCGGGTTGTGAAATCATCGAAACCCATTCCTCACCACAGTTTGGCTGTGGCTTCGGCCGCCTTGTTGGGTCGTTGTGTCTTTCTGAAGGTTCTTCACGAGACATTCCCGCAGCACACATTCCTCATGAACGGGCTCATACAGGGCGTGAAGGTACGCACACGCACGCTTGAACACGCACACCTCAACAGACGGGCACGCTTGAACACGCATGCACGCTTGAATACACATGCTTGAACATGCACGCACGCATGAACATGCACGCACGCATGAACATGCACGAAAACACGCACACACGTTTGAACGTGCATGAACACGCATGCTTGAACACGCATGCTTGAACACGAATGCTTGAACACGCAAGTCTGAACATCCACACCTGACCGCACGCACGCACGCGTAGGTGCGCTCGTGCGTGCGTGCGTGCGTGCCAGCCACGGCTGTTGACGCAAGGTTATGAAGGATTTTGCACGCTTACTGGGCGGGCGGGAGGGGGCGGTGGGCGTTGCTTCAGCGTCCCCGGGCATGTCACAGCGCGCTTTGCACCACGTCTCGCCTCATCTCAACCGTTCCAATGGCCGGTTGTGGTTTGTGTTATTGTTTAGGCCTAGGGCGATCCCCACTGCCCGCCCCCCCCCCACACCACCCCCGCCACCGATGGCAGCTGACCATGCGTGGCACAAGCGTCGGTTACCCTCCCATGTGACGTCGAGCTTTTGATCCTTTTGCAAATCGCGAGTTTCATTTCCCATTGTGGGGGAATGAGAAACAAAAAGCCCGTCGAGCTGAAAAGCTCTTTCTCAAATAGGCGGTGGGCTCGGCTGGGCGGACAACATCGAAGCATTGCGCATCTGCGGATTTAAACAAACGAAAAACGTAATCGTAGCGATTTATAAGAACGTTACTTTTGCACTTGCGTTCGACATCGTATTATCCTCGTCTGTTTACATAGTACAGTGACTCTTCGACTTACGAACATTCGACTTACGAACTTTCAGAGATACGAACAAACCTGGTCCGTACGTTCAGTTGCCTGTTCGGATCGAGAGTCGTAAGTTCAACCGCCGCGCAACAGATGGCGGTCGTGGCATCTACAGCTGCAGAACGTGAAGAACCAGTGGCATCTACATCTGCAGAATGTGAAGAACCAGTGGCATCTACATCTGCAGAACGTGAAGAACCAGTGGCATCTACAGCTGCAGAACGTGAAGAACCAGTGGCATCTCCATCTGAATAATGTGAAGAACCAGTAGCATCTACATCTAAATAATGTGAAGAACCAGTGGCATCTACATCTACAGAACGTGAAGAACCAGTGGCATCTACATCTACAGAGCATGAAGAACCAGTGGCATCTACATCTGCAGAACGTCAAGAACCAGTGGCATCTACATCTGCAGAACGTCAAGAACCAGTGGCATCTACATCTACAGGATGTGAAGAACCAGTGGCATCTACATCTACAGAACGTGAAGAACCAGTGGGATCTACATCTACAGATCGTGAAGACCCAGTGGCATCTACATCTGCAGGAGATTATACAACTTGTAAAGCTATCCCCCCATGTTTAGTGTACACGCCGTACAACGCGTTTGGAATCGACGGGAGTAAAATCGGACTTACGAACAAATCGACTGAGGAACAGACCTCTGGAACCGAACTCGTTCGTCAGTAGAGGAGTCCCTGTACTGTAGTACAATAGTCACCATTAACGTATATTGCCCATAGACCAACGTCACACCATAGACCTACATTGCCCTGAGACTTACATTGCCTGCCCATAGAGTAACGTTGCCCATAGAGTAACATTGCCCATAGAGTAACATTGCCCATAGAGTAACGTTGCCCATAGAGTAACGTTGCCCATAGAGTAACATTGCCCATAGAGTAGCATTGCCCATAGAGTAACGTTGCCCATAGAGTAACATTGCCCGCTTGACTCGTATATCCTTGTCCTTTTACTTAATTTTATCTGGACAATCAACGTCCCTGCAACTCCGTGTGCATCACTGCCTCACCTCCCCTCTCTCCCTCCACCGTGACCCCCCCCCCCCCCTCTCTCCCTCCCGTGTGCCTCACCTCTCCCTCCCCCATGGCCCCCCCTCTCCTCTCTCCCTCCACTGTGATCCCCACCCTCTCCCTCCCCCGTGCCCCCCCTCACCTCTCTCCCTCCCCCCATGACCCCCCCCCCCCCACAAATCGCCCACCCTAGGGGCTGCTGTCGTTCCTGAGCGCCCCTCTGATAGGGGCCCTGTCGGACGTGTGGGGCCGCAAGTCCTTCCTGCTGCTCACCGTCTTCTTCACCTGCGCCCCAATCCCTCTCATGAGGATTAGCCCCTGGTACGATACTCGCACACAAAGACACACAAAGACAAAGATCAAAGATCCCCCATATAGCCTTAACAGACTGTAGGGGCAAGTGCTGTTAGCGAGCAGCACCTATGAAGGCCGGTAACGGTACACGAGGGGGTGGGTGGCCAGCACCACGCCCGACCGCCTTTGTCTCCCTAGCGGCGATGTTTACACACCGCACCAGGTACTCATTTGAGGCTGAGTCGACCTAGGGGAGGCCCAGGACCAGTTCAGATAATCGTCACTGGTGTTGGCCGTGAGCGGGAATCGAACCCGGGTCGCCAGGTTCATAGCGCAGCGCGCTTACCGCTACACTATCGCTCCCCACGCACACACACGCACGCGCACGCCCTATCGCACGGCATTATGCATGGCATACAAGCAACCCTATATACACACACGCGCACACACCCCATACGCACAGCATACATACATCTTACATACACCTTATATGCACGGTATACGCGCGGCATACGCACAGCATGCACACGGCATACGCACAGCATACACATCCTATATACACACACACACCTTATAGGCACAGCATACATGTACCCTATACACACATGCACACCCTGTATGCACAGAATTATGCACAGCATGCATGCCCGCTATACACATGCGCACAACCTATACGCACGGCATTATACACAGCATACACGCACCCTATACACACACACACTATACACACAGCATACACACGGCATACGCACAGCATACACACCCTATACGCTTAGCATACGCACAGCATACACATCCTATACGCACAGCGTACCCACAGCATACACAGCATACACACTGCATATCCCCATCATATGCACAGTATACACACACACTATACGAACAGCATACACACTGCAAACCCCCATCATACGCACAGCATACACACTGCAAACCCCCATCATACGCACAGCATACACACACACACACTATACGCACAGCATACACACTGCAAACCCACATCATACGCACAGCATACACACACACTATATGCACAGCACACACACTGCAAACCCCCATACGCACAGCATACACACTGCAAACCCCCATCATACGCACAGCATACACACACACTATACGCACAGCATACACACACACTATACGCACAGCATCCACACTGCAAACCCCCATCATACGCACAGCATACACACACACTATACGCACAGCATACACACACTATACGCACAGCATACACACTGCAAACCTCCATCATACGCACAGCATATACACACACACTATACGCACAGCATACACACTGCAAACCCACATCATACGCACAGCATATACACACACACACTATACACACAGCATACACACACTATACGCACAGCATACACACACACTATACGCACAGCATACACACACACTATACGCACAGCATACACACACACACTATACGCACAGCATACACACACACTATACGCACAGCATACACACACACACATTATACGCACAGCATACACACACACACACACTATACGCACAGCATACACACACACACTATACGCACAGCATACACACACACTATACGCACAGCATACACACACACACACACACTATACGCACAGCATACACACACACACACACTATACGCACAGCATACACACACACACTATACGCACAGCACACACACACACACTATACGCACAGCATAGAGAGACACGCGCGTGTGCGGTGCCCGTGGTGCCCGGTTGCACAGGTGGTACTTTGCCGTGATCTCCATCTCCGGGATCTTCTCGGTCACCTTCTCCGTGGTGTTCGCCTACGTGGCCGACGTCACGGCCGAGCACGAGCGCAGCACCGCGTACGGCCTGGTGAGACGCGCACGCTCGCTCGCTCGCCTGCCCGCGTTACGAAGACAAAGATCCCCCGTGTAGCCCTAACAGACTGTTGGGGCAAGTTTTGTGAGCGAGCAGCACCTACGGAGGCCGGAACAGCAACATGACGGGGCTGGGTGGCCAGCACCACGCCCGGCCGCCTTTGTCTCCCTAGTGGCGATGTTCTTACGCGACGCGCCAGGTACTCATTTGAGGCTGAGTCGACCTAGGGGGGGGGAGGCCAGGACCGGGTCAGATAATCATCCCTGTGGGCCGTGAGCGGGAATTGACCTCGGGTCGCCGGGTTTGTAGCGCAGTGCCATAAACCGCGCTACACTACCGCTCCCAACAAGCGCACCAATACCAGTAGCCGCCATTCGACACAAAGTGACAGGGACATCACCACGGTGCCTGTGCCAGGCCAGGTGCACTTTGAGGCTGTCACGTGAAGTGTTGAAGGCTCGCTGCTGGCAGGAGGTCACGGGACAGACACACGCGCAGACACATGTAATAAGATGGACAGCACTCTAACGTACGCCCCCCCACCCATCCCTCCACCCACATCTCCACCCACCTCCCCACCCACTGACCCAACCACCACTGACCCAACCACCCACTCACCCAAACCCAACCAAATCCACCTTCCGACTCAAACCCATCCACCCCTCTACCTCCTCCCCCCACCAACTCACCCAACCACCCACTGACCCACCCACCTACGCATTGAGTCTCCCCCAAACCCACCTACTCGCCCACATCCACATAAACCCACCCACACCCACCCACACAAATCCACCCAAACCCACCCACACCCACACACACCCCAAACCCAGGTGTCGGCGACGTTTGCGGCGAGCCTGGTGACGAGCCCGGCGATCGGCGCGTACCTGAGCGAGGTGTACGGCGACGGGCTGGTGGTGGCGCTGGCCACCGCCGTGGCGCTGCTGGACATCGCCTTCGTGCTCGCCGCGGTGCCCGAGTCTCTGCCCGAGAAGATGCGGCCCGCCTCGTGGGGTGCCCCCATCTCTTGGGAGCAGGCCGACCCCTTCGCGGTGAGGCCCCCGGGGTCCTGGGCCGAGCTGGGCCCGGCCGGAGTGAGCCCAGGCCACCGCGGCCAGAAGTTATTTTTAAAATGTCCGTTTTCTCGCAATGCGATTTTGAAATGGTGCGTTTATTCTCAATTATTTTTGTTACGCAAGCGCCATTGTCGAAATAACAGTGCTCCGGCGTGTTGGGTGGCGGGGGGGAGGATGGGGGGGGCGGTGGAGGAGGGGGGCATGTGAATGAGCGGGTGAGTGAGTGAGTGAGCGAGCTGTTCGGTGAGTGAGCGAGCTGTTCGGTGAGTTAGCGAGCTGTTCGGTGAGTGGGCGAGCTGTTCGGTGAGTGAGCGAGCTGTTCGGTGAGTGGGCGAGCTGCTCGGTGAACTACTCGGTGAGTGAGCGAGCTGTTCGGTGAGTGAGCGAGCTGTTCGGTGAGTGAGCGAGCTGTTCGGTGAACTGCTCGGTGAGTGAGCGAGCTGTTCGGTGAGTGGGCGAGCTGTTCGGTGAGTGGGCGAGCTGTTCGGTGAGTGGGCGAGCTGCTCGGTGAGTTAGCGAGCTGTTCGGTGAGTGGACGAGCTGTTCGGTGAGTGGGCGAGCTGTTCGGTGAGTGAGCGAGCTGCCCGGTGAACTACTCGGTGAGTGAGCGAGCTGTTCGGTGAGTGGGCGAGCTGTTCGGTGAGCGGGCAAGCTGTTCGGTGAGCGGGCGAGCTGTTCGGTGAGCGGGCGAGCTGTTCGGTGAGCGGGCGAGCTGTTCGGTGAGTGAGCGAGCTGCTCAGTGAACTACTCAGTGAGTGAGCGAGCTGTTCGGTGTGTGGGCGAGCTGTTCGGTGAATGGGCGAGCTGTTCGGTGAACTGCTCGGTGAGTGAGCGAGCTGTTCGGTGAGCGGGCGAGCTGTTCGGTGAGTGGGCGAGCTGTTCGGTGAGTGGGCGAGCTGTTCGGTGAGTGGGCGAGCTGCTCGGTGAGTGGGCGAGCTGCTCGGTGAGTGGGCGAGCTGTTCGGTGAGTGGGCGAGCTGTTCGGTGAACTGTTCGGTGAGCGAGCGAGCTGTTCGGTGAGCGGGCGAGCTGCCCGGTGAGCGGGCGAGCTGTTCGGTGAGCGGGCGAGCTGCCCGGTGAGCGGGCGAGCTGCCCGGTGAGCGGGCGAGAGAGCGACTGACCTGTGTGTGTGTGTGCCCTCGTGCCGTCTCTAGTCCCTGCGCAAGGTCGGCCAGGACTCGACCGTGCTGCTCATCTGCATCACAGTGCTGCTCTCCTACCTGCCCGAGGCCGGCCAGTACTCCAGCTTCTTCCTCTACCTGCGGCAGGTGAGGCACGCTCGCTCGCTTGGGGGGGTGCCTGCGCTCACAATTCCGGCATATCGCCGGCAAAACGTCGTACATTCTGTCCTCCCGTAACGCCGCGTGTGGTTTTAATGACGCGAATTGGATGCAGAACGCGATTGAGTGTGATTAGTGGAACACGTTTGTTTAAAAAAAAAAAACCGCGGATGCGAATTGGATACAGTAACCGCGATCGAGCGAACGGATCCACTACGTCGCGCGAGTTAGGAATGATCGGTTCGCAACGGCTGTTCCCATGCGTGGCATCGGGATGTTGCTGGATCCTTCTAGACGCCACCCCACGCCCGCCTCGGTCTCTGTTCGGCGCCCGCGTCACGCACTTCACGCATTATCGCGTACCGCGCTTTGCCCCCTACGTTATATACTTATTATTATTCTAACGCGATTTTTCCATAACGCCGTGGTGTTCTTCAGGAACGCAACACTACTTCCGCCGCGTTATGGGAGGGGAACAGTGCTGTGGTCCAATTGCCAATGTTGTGGTGGGTTTTACTCTCCCAACACACGACCGGTTAGTGCTGAACTAGGAACGACCTGGCACGATTTTGTTTACGTGACAAACCCCCGTCACCGGTTGGCTGTGTCGGGTGGTGGTGGTGGCGGCAGGTTTAACCACGCGTTTATGGATACGCGATCTGACCCCAGACTGATGGGATCTCTAGACAATAGACTGATTGATGGGTCCCTGATGGGATCTCTAGACAATAGACTGACTGATGGGTCCCTGATGGGATCTCTAGACAATAGACTGACTGACTGACTGACCGGTCTCCGATTGGGTCTTGACGGGTTGTTGTGCCCTTTGTGTGTGCGTGCGCGTGTGCGCGCGCTTGTGTGTGTGCTTGTGTGTGTGCTTGTGTGTGTGTGCGTGTGTGTGCTTGTGTGTGTGTGCGCGTGTGCGCGTGTGCGCGTGTGCGCGTGTGCGCGTGTGCGCGTGTGCGTGTGTGCGTGCGTGCTTGTGTGTGTGCTTGTGTGTGTGCTTGTGTGCTTGTGTGTGTGCTTGTGTGCTTGTGTGTGTGTGTGCTTGTGTGTGTGTGTGCTTGTGTGTGTGCTTGTGTGCTTGTGTGTGTGCTTGTGTGCTTGTGTGTGTGTGTGCTTGTGTGTGTGCTTGTGTGCTTGTGTGTGTGCTTGTGTGCTTGTGTGTGTGTGTGCTTGTGTGTGTGTGTGCTTGTGTGTGTGTGTGTGCGCGCGCGCGTGTGCAGGTGATGAAGTTCTCCTCCGAAAGCGTTGCCGCGTTCATTGCCGTGCTGGGCATCCTGTCCATCATCGCTCAGGTGGGACAGCAGCCTGCGTGTCCTCCGCGTGTCCCCCGCGTGTCCCCCGCGTGTCCCCCGCGTGTCCCCCGCGTGTCCCCCGCGTGTCCCCCGCGTGTCCCCCGCGTGTCCCCCGCGTGTCCTCCGCGTGTCCCCCGCGTGTCCCACTGTGTCGCAGTGTGTCCCCGTGTATCCCACTCTTTTTTTTTCCCGCGTGCGTTCCTGTCCAACGCTGTACATCTCGATGTGTCCCCGTCCGTGCCCGTTGTGCGTCTGTGCTGATCCCCCTGTGCTGATCCCCCTGTGTCCCCCTGTTCCCCGCGTGTTCGCCGCGCGTTCCCCGTGCCTCCGTGCTGATTGCCGATACCCCTGTCTTCCCGCGTGTGTCCCCGCGCATCCCTGCGCGTCTAGACGCTGGTGCTCAGCGCCCTGATGCGCTCCATCGGGAACAAGAACACCATTCTGCTTGGCCTCGTCTTCCAGATGGTGCAGCTCACGTGCTACGGCTTCGGGTCCCAGCCCTGGTGCGTGCGCGCGTGTGGAGGAGGCTCGTGAAGGATGCCACTACTGGGCAGTTGGAGACGGTCACTTTTTACAACAATAACAACGGGAGGGCAGAGGAGCGACGCTGCTCACAACAACGTGCGGAGCGCCGGGCGGATAAAATGCAGCAAGTTGGCACAGTAGGGGGGTACAGCTGGTGGTGCGTCTACCGGTCATCTCAGTCAGCCACCCCCATGGCACCTGCTGGGTCTGTCCCGTGACCTCCTGCCAGCAGCGAGCCTTTGACACTTCACATGGCCTGAAAGTGCACCTGGCCTGGCACAGGCGCCGTGTTGATGTCCCTGTGACTTCGTGGCGAATGGCGGCTATTGGTGTGCGTGTTTGGGAGCGGTAGTTTAGCGTGCTGCGCTACAAACCCGGTGACCCAAGTTCGATTCACGCTCAGCGGGCCAACACCAACACCGGCGACGATTGTCTGAAGCGGTCCTGGGTCATCCCCTAGGTCAACTCGGCCACAAATTTGTATCTGGTGCGATGCGTAAATGTCGCCACCTGGGGGAGACAAAGGCGGCCGGGCGCGATGCTGGTCACCCACCCCCCTCGTGTGCCGCCGTGCCGGCCTTTGTAGGCGTTGCTCCTCGCTAACAGCACTTGCCCCGGTCAGTCTGTTGAGGCCACACGGGGGCACCTTTGTCTTTGTTTTGCGTGTGCGTGTTTGTGCGGAGGAGGCCTCTGCGGGAGGACACTCTCTTGAAGGCCTTTGTTGAGCTATCAGTTGTAGCCAGGCCGCCTCAGTAGTGTGGGACCTTACCTGGTGAAATAAAAAATAGTTGAGTTTGTGAAGAGCTGAGTCTTCACACCACTGGCGCCCAAACGGTCTGTTAAAGGTTACACTTGGGGCGTGGGTTGCCCCTTTGCCTTTGTGTTGCCAGGATGACGTGGGCGTCCGGCGCTGTGGCCGCCATGTCCAGCATCACCTTCCCGGCCGTGTCGGCGCTGGTGTCGCGAAACGCCGACGCCGACCAACAAGGCGAGGAACGCACGCACTCACGCACGCGCTCACATACTCGCGCACGCGCTCGCGCAAGCACGCACTCGCTCATGCACTTGCTCGCTCACTCATGCACTTGCACGCACTCACACACTCACCCATTCACTCACGCATGCACTCACGCAAGCACTCGCTCGCTCATGCACTTGCACTCACTCGCACACTCACCCATTCACTCACTCACGCACGCACTCACGCAAGCACTCACTCATGCACTTGCTCGCTCACTCATGCACTTGCACTCACTCGCACACTCACCCATTCACTCACTCACGCACGCACTCACGCAAGCACTCACTCATGCACTTGCTCGCTCATGCACTTGCACGCACTCGCACACTCACCCATTCACTCACTCGCGCACGAAAGCGTAACGACAACAACGGCGGTTCGCCACCGACGTCACGACCGCGGCGCCTGTGCCAGGCCCAGGCGCACTTCGATGGCGTCTCTGTGAAGCGTCGAAGGCTCTCGCTTGCTGGCTGGCAGGAGGTCTCGGGAGAGAGCCACCAGGTGCCTTGTGGGGTTGACCGACTGAGATGACCGGCGGATGCACCAGCTGTGCTCCCCGCTGTGCCAGGCTAGGTGCAGGAGGTCTCGGGAGAGAGCCACCAGGTGCCTTGTGGGGTTGACCGACTGAGATGACCGGCGGATGCACCAGCTGTGCTCCCCGCTGTGCCAGGCTAGGTGCAGGAGGTCACGGGAGAGAGCCACCAGGTGCCTTGTGGGGTTGACCGACTGAGATGACCGGCGGATGCACCAGCTGTGCTCCCCGCTGTGCCAGGCTAGGTGCAGGAGGTCACGGGAGAGAGCCACCAGGTGCCTTGTGGGGTTGACCGACTGAGATGACCGGCGGATGCACCAGCTGTGCTCCCCGCTGTGCCAGGCTAGGTGCAGGAGGTCTCGGGAGAGAGCCACCAGGTGCCTTGTGGGGTTGACCGACTGAGATGACCGGCGGATGCACCAGCTGTGCTCCCCGCTGTGCCAGGCTAGGTGCAGGAGGTCTCGGGAGAGAGCCACCAGGTGCCTTGTGGGGTTGACCGACTGAGATGACCGGCGGATGCACCAGCTGCGCTCCCCACCCGCTGTGCCACAACGCGCACGAGACAAAGATCCCCCGTGTAGATGAACACGTAGCAGGAGGCTTTTGCGACCAATATAACCAGAATCAACTTTTTTACGGGTTCGAGCGTGTAAATATAATCGCCAGCGAAATGTCACGGTCCTCAAGTTGTAAATGTTGTGTTGGGTTTACTCTCCAACACACAGCTGGTGAGTGCTGAACTAGTCACGAATTGGCCACGTTTAGTGACACACCCCACCTTGCTTGATTGGCTGTTGTCGGTTGGTGGTGGCAGGTTCAACGACACACATTGACGCGGTCTAACCCAACAAAAACCTTGATTATGGATCCGCCCCCCCTCACCGTGTAGCCTTAATAGCCTCTTGGGGCAAGTGCTTCTGTTAGCGAGTAGCTGCAGCACCTTTGAAGGAGACAAAGACAAAGATCCCCCGTATAGCCTCTAACAGACTGTTGCGGCAAGTGCTTCTGTTAGCGAGTAGCAGCAGCGCCTTTGAAGGAGACGGACAAAGATCCCCCGTGTAGCCTCTAACAGACTGTCGGGGCAAGTGCCGTTAGCGAGTAGCAGCAGCGCCTATGAAGGAGACAAAGACAAAGATCCCCCGTGTAGCCTCTAGCAGACTGTTGGGGCAAGTGCCGTTAGCGAGTAGCAGCAGCGCCTATGAAGGAGACAAAGATCCCCCGTGTAGCCTCTAACAGACTGTTGGGGCAAGTGCCGTTAGCGAGTAGCAGAACCTAACAAAGGCTTAGAGCAGGGCTTGGAAAAAAAAAACCTAAATAACAGGAAGAGCGATTTAATTTGTTTCGAATTCTGTAAAAAAAAAAGTCAGTATATCAAGAGACGCACAATGCAACGTGAGTACGAGACGATGGTGGGTCCTTAATAAACAACGTCGCAAAGCAGTCCCTTAGAGAGCCGCGTGCTCGGAGACGCACGTGGCGAGATGTTAACTACCTCGCCTGGTATACAGGAGGTCGTGGGGTCGATCCAGACCCTGACAATACCTCCTGTATCTTTGGAGTCTCCACGGTGGCTAGGAGATGTTAACTACCTAGCCTGGTATATGTCGTTGGTCGTGGGGTCGATCCAGACCCTGACAATACCGCCTGTATATTTGGAGTCTCCGTGTCTCTCATCATCATCACGGTGGCTAGGAGATGTTAACTACCTCGCCTGGTATATGTCGTAGGTCGTGGGGTCGATCGCAACCCCTGACAATACCTCCTGTATATTTGGAGTCTGCGTGTCTCTCTCGCTCTCTCCCCGTGGTCATGTGGATTTTTCTTCCCGGGATACTCCAGTTTTTCCTCCTCCACGTCTAGAATCGACGTCGCGTGTCTTCGAGTAATTCGGCTGCAGCTGTGAACTTCCCGCGCGATGATGACGATGATGACGATGACAAGCCACTTGATTGAGCTGTCATTTGTGATAGCAGCTCGGTAGGGCCTTACCTGGTGGTGATTAAACAACAACCGGCCCCCCGTGCCCCTCTCCCGTCACGCTGCCACAGGCGTGGTGCAGGGCATGGTGACGGGGATCCGGGGGCTGTGCAACGGGCTGGGCCCAGCGCTCTACGGCTTCATCTTCTACCTCTTCCACGTGGAGCTCAACGAGGTGCCGGCGGGGGGAAACGCCGACCCCAGCAGGGCAGACGTGCCCGCCGCCACCGACAGGGTGAGTGGGTGGGTGGGTGGTGGCGGCAGTGATGGTGGTGGTGGTGGTGACGGTGATGGTGGTTGGTGACGGTGACGGTGGTTGGTGGTGGTGACGGTGGTGGTGATTGTGGTTGGTGGTGGTGACGGTGATGATGGTGACAGTGATGGTGGTTGGTGGTGGTGATGGTGGTTGGTGGTGGTGACGGTGGTGGTGATTGTGGTTGGTGGTGACTGTGATGGTGGTTGGTGACGGTGATGGTGGTTGGTGGTTGGTGACGGTGGTTGGTGGTGGTGACGGTGGTGGTGATTGTGGTTGGTGGTGGTGACAGTGATGATGATGGTGGTTGGTGACGGTGACGGTGGTTGGTGGTGGTGGTGGCGATGGCAGTGGCGGTTGGTGGCGACGACGACGATGATGATGTCTGCAGTGTTGTCACCGTCGTTGCCTGTTACATTGCGTTCGCTTCGGGTGGCTCAGCGGAGAGGCGCGCGAGCGGCTTGCGATGGGATGGTCGCGAGGTCACATCCCGCTCGCCCCCTTGCCCCCCCCCCCCCCCCAGACCATCATCCCAGGCCCCCCGTTCCTGTTCGGCGCTTGCTCCGTGCTACTGGCGCTGCTGGTGGCGCTCTTCATACCCGAGAGGCCGGCGGGATCCGGGGCGCAGGCCGGAGGCGGCGTCGGCCACCACCGGCGCCACCACCACCACCACCACCAACAACACCACGGACTCCTGCACCACCACCACCAGCAGCAGCAGCAGCACCAGCAGCCGCAACACCATCAGCAGCAGCAGCAGCACCACCAGCACGCGGGGGAGATGGCGCTGGGCCACTCGGAGGAGGACACGCACTCCCCCCTGGCGACGGAGGGCGAGGAGCCGCTGCTGCAAGACAGCTCCGTGTGAACGCTGGCGCGCCGAACGCTCTTTGACCAATGGACGGTGGGGGTTGGCGTCGCAGGGGGATGGGGGGGGGTTGGGGGGGGGGGAGGTCAAACGGGGTCGGCAAAATTTTCGGGAAAAAATTCCAGCGCCGGACTTCCGTCGTCCGCGCACGCTCAAGCTGCCATTTTCGTGCAACGGATTGTTATCGGATCGTCGGATCCACCCGTGTGGAGTTTTGAGTGTTGTTGTCCCATCTCCGCCCCCCCCCCCCCCCCCCCCCGTATGTGTGGTGCGTGTTCATAGTCCTGGTTTGTTTTGGTCTCGCGCGAATTTACAACAACAACAACAAAAATCTCTCGTGTAGACTCGACGAATTGGCCAAAACGTCCCGACGTAGGCCAGAGCCCCCCCCCCCCTCCCCTGTGTAAGTAATAATAAAAACAACACAGTCTTGAATGTCACAGTGCGGATTTCTGTGGTAATTAAACGACATAACAACATGAATAAATAACGAGACTAAAAATATGCCAGTCTTCTTAGCAGATCGCCAAACCAGGAGATGTTCCGACAGTCTCCGCGCGCCCGCGCGCGTGGACCCGCTAACCTCTGGCTGGCCACCGCGGTTCTACCGTCGCTCCGATACCACGACCACCACCACCACCACCACGGTGGTCGGCAGCGGCGGCGGCAGCAGCTAAGGCTTCTCGCGCGACGCGAGAAATGACTGGCGCCGAGACGTGTCGATCTTTTTTTATTCCGCAGCCACGCTCTTGCCGTCGCGCCCGGTCGCAAATCCCACCGTGACGGAACGTGTGACGGTGACGGTGGTGGCGGCAGCGGTGGTGATGATGATGATGGCGGCGGCGGCGGCGGCGGCCTCCTCCAAGAGAAAGGGCCGATGCCGGCCGATTTAACCCCCTTCGGTCGACGGAGTTTAAAAAAAAAAAAAAACGTGGCCCAGGCCCAGTGGAATGATTTCCCAGAACCTGCGTATTCTTTCCGGCTCGTAGTTTTTTTATTTGACATGTCTCTTTGACGTTGGCGCGCCGCACGTCGAGAGCGAGAGCGAGCGAGCCTGCGTGCCTGCGTGCGTGCCTGTCCATGTGTGTGCCCCCCCGTGTGCCCGTCCGCCCACCGCCGCCGCCGCCGCCGCTAAGGTTTACACTTTGTTACGCGGGTGGACAATTCCAGAGCGAAGGTGCACACGTGTGTTTTGGCAGGCCGCACCGTGCGTGCGAGTTGGTGTGCGCGTGAGCACGGGCCGACCTGGCGGGTCGGTTGGTTTGTGGGTGGCGGGGAAGGATGGTGCGCATGTGTGGCGAGCGGTGGTGCAGCGGTTAGCGCGCCGCGCTACGAACCTGGCGTAGACCCGGTTTTCTCGATTCCCGCTCGCGGCCACCACCGGTCCTGGGCCTCCCCTAGGTCGACTCGGCCCTCGAATGGGTACCTGGGTGCGGCGTGTAAAAACATCGTCACCTTTGGAGACAAAGGCGGTCGGGCGTGCGTGGTTGCTGGCCACCCACCCCCTTCCGTGCCGGCGGCCTTCCGTAGGTACTGCCGCTCGCTTACCAGCACTTGCCCCGACAGTCTGTTAAAGCCTGTACGGGGGGTGGGGGGGAACTTTTGTCTTTGTGTGCGTGCTGCGTGAACCCGGGGGGTGGGGGTGGTGGTGGGGGGTGGTTGCTTGCAGTGCGATCGTTGCACGGGGCGGCAGCACCGGCGAGTCCGCGCGACGTTGTGGGTGCCCTTCTCTTTTTGGTCTCCAGGAACGTCGTGCGGCTTCAAATGTGTTACGCTTTTTTTTTTTTTTCCTCCGTCGTGGGTAGGTTGTGCACGTATGTGCGGCTCGTGCGGCTGGCTCGTGCGTGCGTGCAGGTGGCTCGTGCAGGTGGCTCGTGCGGGTGGCTCGTGCGGGTGGCTCGTGCGGGTGGCTCGTGCGGGTGGCTCGTGCGGGTGGCTCGTGCGGGTGGCTCGTGCGGGTGGCTCGTGCGGGTGCCTCGTGCGGGTGGCTCGTGCGGGTGGCTCGTGCGGGTGGCTCGTGCGGGTGGCTCGTGCGGCCACGCTGAAGGCGCGCGAGGGAGCCCGTCCGTTCACGGAACGCGATCGGAAACTCGAGTCGGCACAGAGAGAAAGTGAACGTATAAATTAATCGCATTTCCTCCCCGTGTTTAAAATAAAACTTGAAAAAAAGAAATTGCGTGTAAAGAAATACAAAAGAAAATCCCAAATATTTTTTTGTTGCTTAACAAATATATATAGAGTTTGTTTGTTTTGACTTTCGTTTAACTTCTATTTTGTGGGTGTAATCTGGGCCCTGCATGTTGGTGGCTTATTCTTTATTTGGACTTCAGGAGTTGTGGGGGGTGGGGGGCGGAGGGTGGGGGAATCCGATGAGCTGCGAAGCTTTTGTTCACAGATGTCCGGGAGGTCCATAAACGTGCACCAAAGATCTCCCTCCGCCGGTGTAGCCTTGGCAGACTGTTGGGGCAAGTGCTGCCGGCCGCCTTTGTCTCCCCCAGTCGGCGATGTTTACTGCACGCCGCACCAGGTGCTCATTTAAGGCTGAGTCGACCTTGGGGAAGAGGCCCAGGACCGGTTCACAAAATCGCCCACCGGCTTTGGCCGTGAGCGGGAATCGAACTCGGGTCTACGCCGGGTTCGTAGCGCTGACCGCTTTGCCACCCGCCGACCCACCGACCACCCCTTCCATCCGCGATCGAACCCTCGACCTCCTGCGTACCAGGCGAGGTAGTTAACATCTCCTAGCCACCACGGCGCCTCTCCCCTTAAGAGGGGCTGGGTAGGCGGTGAAGAATATTTTTGCGTTGAACGTGGAAAACTGGGAACAAAACACGTGAATGTGATTGTGTGTGTGTGTGTGTGCCCATGTTTGTTTATGCAAGGGGGGTAACAGCTGGTGGTGCATCTACCGGTCATCTCGGTCAGCCAACCCATGGCACCTGGCGGGTCTGGCCTCCTGTCAGCAGCGAGCCTTCGACAATTCGCGTGATAGCCACAGTGCACCTGGCCTGGCACAGGTGCTGTTGGTGACCTGACCGGCACTTGCTAGCGAATGGCGTGTTTTGGTACTGCTTATGCAAGGTGACGCTTCTTCGTCCAGGTCGACTCATCGTTACACAAATTTATTGTCCCACCCCCGCCCGCCCGCACCCCTGATTAGCACGGTTGGCGACGTACGGTGCGAAAGAAGTTCCACATGTACCCGGTGTGGTGTGCAAACATCAGCACCGGGGAGACAAAGGCGGTTGGGCGTCTGGCTGGCCACACCACGCGCGCTTGTGTGCTCGCTGAACAGCAGCTTTGCCCCAACAGCCCGTGCAGGCTACACACGGGGTGAACTTTTCTCTCTGTACACGTGCCTATATTTGCATTGCGCTCGTGTGTGCGTGTGTGTATATATTGTGTGTGGTTGCTGAAGACTGGTACCAGCGGTGTCAAGATCGGGCCCGCTGGAGGAGGCTCGTGAAGGACGCTGCTACTGGTTCCGTTGCAGGCGGTCGCCCCCTCCAGCGACACTGGAGGGCGGCGGAGGAGCGACGCTCACAACAACGAGCGACGCTCACAACAACGAGCGGAGCGCCGGGCGGATGAAACGCAGCGAGTTGGCACAGTAGTGGGGGTCGGGGGGTGGGCTGCAGCCGGTGCATCGGCCACTCATCTCAGTCGGTCAACCCATGGCACCTGCTGGGTCTGCCCCGTGACCTCCTCCTGCCAGCAGCGAGCCTTCGACACTTCACGTGACGGCCTCAACGTGCACCTAGCCTGGCACAGGCGCCCTGTGCTGACGTCACCGTCACTTAGTTGCGAATGGCTGCTCTTGGTGTATCATGCAGGAAAATGTACGTTTTGGATTTGTGTGTATTGGGTAATTATGTGTTTTTTTAACGTGTGTGTGTGTGTTTCTACAGGCTGTATGTAACGTATTTTACAATCGTGTGTGTGTATATAATAACACTCTCTATCATTGTATATGCGGCATTGTGTGTGTGTTGTGTACGTGCAGCATTGTGTGTGTTGTGTAGGTGCAGCATTGTGTGTGTGTGTTGTGTACGTGCAGCATTGTGTGTGTGTGTTGTGTACATGCAGCATTGTGTGTGTGTGTTGTGTACGTGCAGCATTGTGTGTGTGTGTTGTGTACGTGCAGCATTGTGTGTGTGTTGTGTACGTGCAGCATTGTGTGTGTGTTGTGTACGTGCAGCATTGTGTGTGTGTTGTGTACGTGCAGCATTGTGTGTGTTGTGTGTTGTGTATGTGCAGCATTGTGTGTGCGTGTTGTGTACGTGCAGCATTGTGGGTGCGTGTTGTGTACGTGCAGCATTGTGTGTGCGTGTTGTGTACGTGCAGCATTGTGTGTGTGTTGTGTACGTGCAGCATTGTGTGTGTGTGTTGTGTACGTGCAGCATTGTGTGTGTGTGTTGTGTACGTGCAGCATTGTGTGTGTGTGTTGTGTACGTGCGCGGGTTAGGGAGCGGTGGTGCAGCGGTTGGCACGCCCCACCACGAACCCCCCTGCCCGCTGCGTAGCCGACACCCCCCCTAGGTCGGCTCGGCCTCAAATTGAGTAGCTGGTGCGGTGTGTGGTCAACGTCGCTACTAGGGAGAGACAAAGGCGGCCGGGCGTGCGTGGTGCTGGCCACCCACGTGTGCCACCGCGCTGACCTTCGTTCCGTGCTGAATCCTCGCTCGCAGCACTTGCCCCAAAAACGTCTGTGGTGTCCCGGCCACGGCTCACGTTCGTGCCTCACGATGTCGCAACTCGTACCGGGCCTCCCCTAGGTCGACTCTGCCTTAAATGAGCACCTCTTCCCGCGTGTTAAAACATCGCCACTTGGGGAGGCAGAGGCGGCTAGCACCACTCTCCCTCCTGTGCCTTGCCAACCTTAATAGGTGCTCGCTGACAGCACTAGCGCCCCACCTCCCGTTAAATGCTATACGGTGTATCTTTTTTTCTGCCCGTGTGTGTGGATAGGGTGTGTGTGGATTCTGTGTGTATGTGGATTCTGTGTGTATGTGTGTGTATTCTGTGTGTATGTGGATTGTGTGTATTCTCTGTGTGGATTCTGTGTGTATGTGGATTGTGTGTATTCTGTGTATTGTGTGTATGTGGATTATGTGTGTGTGTATTCTGTGTGTATGTGGATTGTGTGTATTCTGTGTATTGTGTGTATGTGGATTATGTGTGTGTGTGTGTGTGTTCTGTGTGTATGTGGATTGTGTGTATTCTGTGTGTGGATTCTGTGTGTATGTGGATTGTGTGTATTCTGTGTGTTTGTGGATTATCTGTGTGTGTGTGGATTGTGTGTATTCTGTGTTTGTGGATTATCTGTGTGTGTGGATTGTGTGTATTCTGTGTGTTTGTGGATTATGTGTGTATGTGGATTGTGTGGATTCTGTGTGTGTGGATTGTGTGTGTATGTAGATTGTGTGGATTATGTGTGTGGATTCTGTATGTGTGTGGATTCTGTATGTGTGTGGATTCTGTGTGTGTGTGGATTGTGTGTATGTGGATTGTGTGTATTCTGTGTGTGTGTATTCTGTGTGTGTATGTGAATTCTGGATTCTGTGTGTGTGGATTGTGTGTGTGGATTATGTATGTGTGGATGTGTGTAAGGATTGTGTGTGTTGTGAGGGATTCTGGACTCTGTGTGTGGATTGTGCGTGTGACACCGAGCCGCCGGAAGAAATTCCACATTCCCATGGTGGGGACCGGGCGCTTCTGTAGATCGACCACAGTTGGGAGTTGTTGTCGGTGTTGTGCTCACTGGTGACACCCCCACCTCCCCACACACAATCACACACGGGTGACACCCCCACCTCCCCACACACAATCACACGGGTGACACCACACCTCGCCCCACACACAATCACACACGGGTGACACCCACACCTCCCATACACAATCACACACGGGTGACACCACACCTCGCCCCACACACAATCACACACCGGTGACACCACACCTCCCACACACAATCACACGGGTGACACCCACACCTCCCCACACACAATCACACACGGGTGACACCCCCACCTCCCCACACACAATCACACACGGGTGACACCACACCTCGCCCCACACACAATCACACACGGGTGACACCACACCTCCCACACACAATCACACGGGTGACACCCACACCTCCCCACACACAATCACACACGGGTGACACCCCACCTCGCCCCACACACAATCACACACGGGTGACACCACACATCCCCACACACAATCACACACGGGTGACACCACACCTCCCACACAATCACACACGGGTGACACCACACATCCCCACACACAATCACACACGGGTAACACCACACCTCCCACACACAATCACACGGGTGACACCACACCTCGCCCCACACACAATCACACACGGGTGACACCACACATCCGCACACACAATCACACACGGGTGACACCACACCTCCCACACAATCACACGGGTGACACCACACCTCGCCACACACAATCACACACGGGTGACACCACACCTGGCCACACAATCACACACGGGTGACACCACACCTCGCCACACAATCACACGGGTGACACCACACCTCGCCACACAATCACACACGGGTGACACCACACCTGGCCACACACAATCACACACGGGTAACACCACACCTCGCCACAATCACACACGGGTGACACCCACACCTCGCCACGCACAATCACACACGGGTGACACCACACATCCCCACACAATCACACACGGGTGACACCCCAAATCCCCACACACAATCAGACACGGGTGACACCACACCTCGCCCCACACAATCACACGCGGGTGACACCCACACCTCGCCCCACACACAATCACACACGGGTGACACCCCTACCTCCCCACACACAATCACACACGGGTGACACCCACACCTCCCACACACAATCACACACGGGTGACACCACACATCCCCACACACAATCACACACGGGTGACACCACACCTCCCCACACACAATCACACATGGGTGACACCCACACCTCCCACACACAATCACACACGGGTGACACCCCACCTCGCCTCACACTCAATCACACACGGGTGACACCCCACCTTGCCCCACACACAATCACACACGGGTGACGGTTCGACTCCGGTTAAAGTTGTCCACATTCATCTCGACGAGTGACGATGCTCGGCCACCGCAGGAAATTCCACATTCTTATGGTGGGGACCAGTTGGTTGGATCTGCTCGTCGCCCCCCCCCCCCATCTCTGGCTGCCATTCCTTCACCACTCGCGACCCAACATCGTCCGCATCTCCCGATTCAGTTGGCTACGTACGGTGCGAAAGAAGTTCAGCTTACAACACCACCACGCCCGGCCGCCTTTGTCTCGCCCAGCGGCGATGTTTACACACCGCATCAGGTACCTCGTTTGAGGCCGAGTCGACCTAGAGGAGGGCCAGCACCACCACGCTCCATCTTTCCGCGTTCTGTAATTTATTTTCCATCCCCCCCCCCCCCCGAATTAAAATGCAAATGTGTTAACTAGTCCCCACGCTGCACGCGCCCGATGATTGTTACACGTCCCCCGCGTGACGCGCTCGGCCACTTTGTCCGCGTCAATGGAGCCGATTGAAGTTTGACGTCTGGGAAGCCCGGCGGTAGATCATGACGTGTCAACATCGTCGCCACCGGGGAGACAAAGGCGGCCGGGCGTCCGTGGTTGCTGATCCACCACACCCACCTCGCGTGCCACAGTGCCGGCTTCATAGGTGCCTGCTCGCTCACAGCACTTGCCCCCAACAGTCTTTTAGAGGCTACACGGGGGATCTTTGTCTTTGTCTCCCTCATAGGCGCTGCTGCTGCTACTCGCTCGCAGCACTTGCCCCAACAGTCTGTTAGAGGCTACACGGGGGAGCTTTGTGCATGTGCACGCGTTCCACGTGACGCGGACAGCAGCGGCGTCAATTGGCTGAGCGCGTTACGTGGCACGCGTTGAACAATCATCGGGCGCGTGCAGCGTGGGGCTGGAGGGCGAATTAATTATTAGTTAATTGTTTGTTAATTGAATGGGGGAAGAGGAGTAACATTTTGGTTTATAACTCTTGAGAGACGGAGCGGGCTGGTGATGGCGGTGTTTTATAACGTATTGGTTTGTTCATATCGTTTGCAAGGCTTATTATATCATTGCACTTGGGAGAAAAACAGAGATGACAATAAACATGACAAAAAATGTCGATGCTTTGGAAGACGACTCGACGAGTTTTTGTAAAAGTTCACCGTTCGTTTTGTGTGGTTTTTTTTACATCCATAGAGCACTCCTCCCAAGATGCTTCAACTACACTTGTGCAGTGGCAAAGATGATCATTGGTTTTTTACCCTTTTATCTGGCAACAAAACTGACACCTTTTTTTTTACAAGGAGTCATGTTTACATTGACCACAATACCTGCGGTCGGAACGCAACTCTGATAATGTATGTGGCACTGTCCTTGAAATTGATTGGTCCACACCCGAGACAGCTTTCTTTAGAGCTTCGTCTCACATGGTGGTGGACCAGAAGACGCCAAAGGCGCACAACTCAAAGACAATGCACCATCAGAGTATGAGAGCTCGGGGTGAACATTTACACCATTGGAAACCTCATTTGCCAGTAATGGCATCACCATGTGAGACGAGGCTCTAAAGAAAGCTGTCTCGGGTGTGGACCAATCAATTTCAAGGACAGTGCCACATACATTATCAGAGTTGTTTTTTGTTTGCGTTCCGACCGCAGGTATTGTGGTCAATGTAAACATGACTCCTTGTAAAAAAAGGTGTCAGTTTTGTTGCCAGATAAAAGGGTAAAAAAGACAATTATCATATTTTGTTACTGGCAAATGAGGTTTCCAATGGTGCAGTGGCAAAGATGTTACCTACCTCGCCTGGTGTACAGGAGGTCGTGGGTTCGATCCCGACCCTGACGACGCCAGCTGCTGCTGCTGCTGTATATTTGGAGTTTGCGTGTCTCTCATCATCACGGTGGCTAGGAGATGTTGACTACCTCGCCGGGTGTACAGGAGGTCGTGGGTTCGATCCCGACCCTGACGACGCCTGCTGCTGCTGCTGTAGATTTGGAGTCTGCGTGTCTCTCTCTCATCATCATCACGGTGGCTAGGAGATGTTGACTACCTCGCCGGGTGTACAGGAGGTCGTGAGAGAGGAGAGACTCGGGGGGGAGGCGCTGGGAGAAGAGCTGGTGGGAGGAGCGGGGTGTAGGGTGGGGGGTAGTGGGGGGGTAGTGGGGGGGGGGCTTGGGGGAACTCGAGTAGAGGACGCGGTGGAGGCTATTTTGAGCCATCGGCACGAACCCATCACGGGGCCTTACTGGGACATGGTGGGCCCGTGGTGTGTCTGCGTGGTGTGTCTGCGTGTCTGCTGCGTGGGATAGCCCTGCCTGCCTGCCTGCCGCCGTAACTCAACTTAACCGTGTCTTGGGTGTCTTTAAGACAACCCAAAACGGCCCAGGCCATCGGTAGTTTCATTGACCGCGTGTCTGTCCGCGTGTCTGTCTGCCTGCCTGTCTGTCTGCCCCCCCCCCCCCCCAGCCGTGTCTCACAAAAGGCAGCCGTCATTTTACGAATGATCGATCGGGTGACTCGGCTCGACTTGCCTGCGACTGACTGACTCGCTGGCTGTGCCGGCCGGCTGACTTTCTGACTTTGTCAACTGGACATCTGGCTGCACAGCCTTGCTCGCGTGTGACTTGTCTGGCTCGTGTGTCTGGCCGACTTGCGTGTCTGACTGACGGCCCGACTTGCGTGCGACTGGCCGACCAAGCTAGCTTGCCGACTGACTGACTTGGCTGACTTGTGACTGGCTGGCAGACGGCCCCAACGCACTCGCTCATCGCTGCCAATCTGGCTCGTGACTGGATCGTCTGAGATGACGGTTTGACTTGCGTGTCACTGGCCGACTAAGCTAGCTTACCGACTGGCTGGCTGGCTGGCTGGCTGACTGGCTGACTGACCAACTGACCGGCTGACTGGCTGACTGACTGGCTGACCGACTGACTGGCTGACCGGCTGACTGGCTGATTGACTGACTGGCTGACTGGCTGACCGGCTGACTGGCTGACCGGCTGGCTGACTGACTGACTGGCTGACCGGCTGACCGGCTGACTGGTTGACCGGCTGACTGACTGACCGGCTGACTGGCTGACTGACTGACTGGCTGACCGGCTGACTGGCTGACTGACTGACTGGCTGACCGGTTGACCGGCTGACTGACTGACTGGTTGACCGGCTGACTGGCTGACTGACTGGCTGACCGGCTGACCGGCTGACTGACTGACTGACTGGCTGACCAGCGGACTGGCTGATTGACTAACTGGCTGACTGACTGGCTGACCAGCTGACCGGCTGACTGGCTGGCTGTGGCGATGTTGGCCTCAATGAGGCGCCTCCTGCAGGACTTGTGAACTTCCGTCCCACCGACCCCACAATTCGTTCCGCCACAGCAAACCTCCCTCCCCTGGGCCGCCGCAGCACATGGGGTGAGTTCGTCTGGCAACGTCCCACCGGTACCATTCAGCCAATCATGCTTCTGTTATGGGGGGGGTCGATAAAGTAGAACAAAATTAGTACCGCTTTGTATGCACGTTGAACTTCATTCGCACCGTACGTGTCCAACCACGCTAAATCGAAGGTGCGGGAGGGAAGGACAAGCAACTATGGGTCTCTGTGTGAGTCGATGGGTCTCTGTGTGAGTCGATGGGTCTCTGTGTGAGTCTATGGGTCTCTGTGTGAGTCTATGGGTCTCTGTGTGAGTCTATGGGTCTCTGTGTGAGTCTATGGGTCTCTGTGTGAGTCTATGGGTCTCTGTGTGAGTCTGTGGGTATCTTTGTGAGTCTATGGGTATCTGTGTGAGTCTGTGGGTATCTTTGTGAGTCTATGGGTATCTGTGTGAGTCTATGGGTCTCTGTGTGAGTCTGTGGGTATCTTTGTGAGTCTATGGGTATCTGTGTGAGTCTGTGGGTATCTTTGTGAGTCTATGGGTATCTGTGTGAGTCTATGGGTCTCTGTGTGAGTCTGTGGGTATCTTTGTGAGTCTATGGGTCTCTGTGTGAGTCTATGGGTCTCTGTGTGAGTCTATGGGTCTCTGTGTGAGTCTGTGGGTATCTTTGTGAGTCTATGGGTATCTGTGTGAGTCTGTGGGTATCTTTGTGAGTCTATGGGTATCTGTGTGAGTCTATGGGTCTCTGTGTGAGTCTGTGGGTATCTTTGTGAGTCTATGGGTCTCTGTGTGAGTATATGGGTCTCTGTGTGAGTCTATGGGTCTCTGTGTGAGTCTATGGGTCTCTGTGTGAGTCTGTGGGTATCTGTGTGAGTCTATGGGTATCTGTGTGAGTCTATGGGTCTCTGTGTGAGTCTATGGGTCTCTGTGTGAGTCTATTCGTATCTTTGTGAGTCTATGGGTCTATGTGTGAGTCTATGGGTCTCTGTGTGAGTCTGTGGGTATCTTTGTGAGTCTATGGGTATCTGTGTGAGTCTATGGGTCTCTGTGAGTGTATGGGGTCTCTTTGTTAGTCTATGAGTCTCGCTATTAGTCTATGGGTTTCTGTGTGAGTCTATGGGTCTCTGTATGAGTCTATGGGACTCTGTGTGAGACTATGGGTCTCTGTGTGAGTCTGTGGGTATCTGTGTGAGTCTATGGGTATCTGTGTGAGTCTATGGGTCTCTGTGTGAGTCTATGGGTCTCTGTGTGAGTCTATGGGTATCTGTGTGAGTCTATGGGTCTTTGTGTGAGTGTATGGGTATCTGTGTGAGTCTATGGGTATCTGTGTGAGTATATGGGTCTCTGTGTGAGTCTATGGGTCTCTGTGTGAGTCTATGGGTCTCTGTGTGAGCGTATGGGTCTCTGTGTGAGTCTATGGGTATCTGTGTGAGTCTATGGGTCTCTGTGTGAGTCTATGGATCTCTGTTTGAGTGTAAAGACAATGCCTACATGAGTAATACTGCATTATTATTATTATACTGATCTAGTGACACTGCTGGTGAGACTAGGCCACAGAGAATGCCGTTCCTGGTGTATCTCAATCAGTCTCAAAGACAATGCATATCACATTATAATTACATTATTATATAAAGACAATGCCACAATCCATCTGACTGTGTCACAGGCCATCACGATCCATCTGACTGTGTCACAGGCCATCATGATCCATTTGACTGTGTCACAGGCCATCATGATCCATCTGACTGTGTCACAGGCCATCATGATCCATCTGACTGTGTCACAGGCCGTCACGACCCATCTGATTGTGTCACAGGCCGTCACGATCCATCTGACTGTGTAACAGGCCATCACGATCCATCTGACTGTGTCACAGGCCATCACGATCCATCTGACTGTGTCACAGGCCGTCATGATCCATCTGACTGTGTCACAGGCCATCACGATCCATCTGACTGTGTCACAGGCCGTCACAATCCATCTGACTGTGTCACAGGCCATCACGATCCATCTGACTGTGTCACAGGCCGTCATGATCCATCTGACTGTGTCACAGGCCGTCACAATCCATCTGACTGTGTCACAGGCCGTCACAATCCATCTGATTGTGTCACAGGCCATCACGATCCATTTGACTGTGTCACAGGCCATCACGATCCATCTGACTGTGTCACAGGCCATCATGATCCATCTGACTGTGTCACAGGCCATCACAACCCATCTGACTGTGTCACAGGCCATCACAACCCATCTGACTGTGTCACAGGCCGTCACGACCCATCTGACTGTGTCACAGGCCGTCATGATCCATCTGACTGTGTCACAGGCCGTCATGATCCATCTGACTGTGTCACAGGCCGTCACGATCCATCTGACTGTGTCACAGGCCGTCATGATCCATCTGACTGTGTCACAGGCCGTCATGATCCATCTGACTGTGTCACAGGCCATCACGATCCATCTGACTGTGTCACAGGCCGTCATGATCCATCTGACTGTGTCACAGGCCGTCATGATCCATCTGACTGTGTCACAGGCCGTCACGATCCATCTGACTGTGTCACAGACCGTCATGATCCATCTGACTGTGTCACAGGCCATCATGATCCATCTGACTGTGTCACAGGCCGTCATGATCCATCTGACTGTGTCACAGGCCGTCATGATCCATCTGACTGTGTCACAGGCCGTCACGATCCATCTGACTGTGTCACAGGCCATCACGATCCATCTGACTGTGTCACAGGCCGTCACGATCCATCTGACTGTGTCACAGGCCGTCACGATCCATCTGACTGTGTCACAGGCCGTCACGATCCATCTGACTGTGTCACAGGCCGTCATGATCCATCTGACTGTGTCACAGGCCGTCATGATCCATCTGACTGTGTCACAGGCCGTCACGATCCATCTGACTGTGTCACAGGCCATCACGATCCCTCTGACTGTGTCACAGGCCGTCACAACCCATCTGACTGTGTCACAGGCCGTCACAACCCATCTGACTGTGTCACAGGCCGTCACGACCCATCTGATTGTGTCACAGGCCGTCACAATCCATCTGATTGTGTCACAGGCCATCACGATCCCTCTGATTGTGTCACAGGCCGTCATGATCCATCTGATTGTGTCACAGGCCGTCACGACCCATCTGACTGTGTCACAGGCCATCACGATCCATCTGACTGTGTCACAGGCCATCATGATCCATCTGACTGTGTCACAGGCCATCACGACCCATCTGACTGTGTCACAGGCCATCATGATCCATCTGACTGTGTCACAGGCCATCATGATCCATCTGACTGTGTCACAGGCCATCATGATCCATCTGATTGTGTCACAGGCCGTCACGACCCATCTGACTGTGTCACAGGCCATCACGACCCATCTGTGCGGACCTCGGTTGGCGATGAAGATGACGACAACGGCGACGATGGCAGCACGGAGAATGGAGCGACGGGCGGCAGGGCAGACTAGCAGTGGAGAAGGTATCGGCTTGCAGTGGTAGTGCAGCGGTTGGAGCGCTAACGCCCCGATGCGCCTACGGAACCCGGGCGATCCGAGTTCGATTCCCGGTCACGGCCACCAACACCACGGTGACGATTTATCTGAGCCCGTCCCTGGGCTAGGTCAGCTCGGCCTCAAACGAGTGCCTGGTGTAGCGGCGTGTAGTAAAACATCGCCACCGGGGAGACAAAGGCGGTCCGGGCGTGGTTGCTGGCCACCCACCCCCTCGTGTGCCGTGCCGGCCTACACAGGTGCTACTCGCTAACAGCACTTGCCCCTACAGTCCGTTACGGGCTACACGGAGGATGTTTGTCTTTGCTCATGTTTAATTCGGCTGCAACTATAAATTCCCGCGTGTGGTATGTATGTCGAACTTCTTTCGCGCCGTACGTAGCCAACCCCATGATTGAGCTCGGTGCGGTGGAGGATTAATTTTTCGTCGAGTATCTGGTGCATCACACATTATTTCCTAATTGCTTAAGCCTCAAAAGTATAGAACGTGGCTATTATTCCCCACAAACTTTGCTGTTATGACCAGGACATTGATCATTTTGAAATGTAGCTATTTTCAATGAGAAAACGTGGTGTGCATTTGTGTCTTTCGTTAACATAAAGTCCTGGTCACAAAAGCAAAGTTCGTGGGGAATAAACAGCCAGCCGTTCTCTGTACTTTTGAGGCATAAGCAATTAGGAAATATCGCTTACTACCCGGGAGAAAAAATGGTGGTACATTGCGTCATCATTCTCGGTGGTTGCAGGCGCCGCTTCGTCCACTAGGAGGCGCTGGGGACGCCACCTCACCAAGCAGCTGGAGATCAGGGGCCGTCCATAAATGACGTCACGCACCGGGGGGGAGGGGGGGTCAGACATTTGTGACGATGTGTGACGAGTGTGGGGGCGGGGGGGTGAGAAATGTGACGTCACATCAAAATGCGCAACTTTAAATAAATATAGACAACACGTTCTACTTAATTAAATAGACGTTTTAATAAATGTTTTCTCCCACAACATCAGAGTGCAGCGCCACATTAAATACGCACTACAATGACAATAGTTTAAAGCGATTTGAAGCATGTTTTATTTTCAAAATGGAAATATGTTATTTTTGGGGGGGGGGGGGGCAGAGCATAGTGACGTCATATTTGAGGGGGGGGGTCTGACTTTTTGTGACGCCGTGTGACGAGGGGGGGAGGGGTCAAAAATCATCCAAAATCGCGTGACGTCATTTATGGACGGCCCCTAAGATAAATCATTTTTCTTATTTTAAATGAAACAAAAATACTTTTCTGCAAATAGTTTGGGTTGCGTTTAGAAACAACAACAACAAACAAACAAACAACCGTAAAATGTAATTTATTCTTTCAACGTGAATTTGGCCTAATGAAGATAACATTTTAAGCTGCCCGTCATTAGAAACCGCTGCAACAGCACACATTTAAGAAATGGTTTTACCCCTCTCTGTCAACGAGGCAGTTCGGGTTGAGATGTTCAAACACCAAACAGAAATCGTGTCCGCACTAGCCACACAGAACTAGGAGTTAGCGGTGAACGTTGCAAACGAGAAAAAAAAACACACGCGCGCTCTGGTAGAGTATGCGGCATTGTCTTTGAAACGGACTGGTCCATACCAGGGACAGTGCGTCATGTACTACCGGAGCGTGCGCGATGCTGCCACGGTTCACCACAAGCACGTGTGGTTAATGCAGACACGATTCCTTGCAAAAGGTTGCAGTTTTGGTGCTTTAGCATCTTCGCACAAACTGTTTCAGAAAGGGGTAAAGCTCTATCCTTTTCGATTTGAAGCTTTCGTGACTGCAGGGATTCGTCTCCTTGGTTCTTTTGGTAAAGTCACCACGTAGAATATGAATAATTTTTATTATAATAAAATAATAAAAAGAAAGCGTAATATTACGTTTAATTTTATTATTTTATGATTTCCCTTCTACGTGACTTTACCGAAAGAACTAAGAGGATGAACTCTTATTCTTAGTTCTTTCGGTAAAGTCACGTTAACTTTACCGAAAGAACTAAGAATATGAATTACTGCAGTCACGAAAGCTTTAAATCAAAATTTAAGATGAACTCTATTCTTGTATTTTGATGCTGGCAAGGGAGGTAACCATGATGCAGCTATTTCGCACAGAGCTCTCAATGTCCTGATTGGTGGCATTGTCTTTGTGCTGTTCGTCTTTTGGCTGTCTCCTCTGGTCTGACACCGTTTGATACTAGGCCCTAAAGAAAGCTGTCTCTGGTGTGTGGACCAATCAGTTTCAAAGGGAACGCGTCATATCTTACCAGAGAAGCGCGCGTGTGTGTGTGCTTCCCGTTCACATGTTCACCACAAGCACGTGCGGTTAATGCAGAAACAATTTCTCGCAAAAAGGTTTCAGTTTGGTGTTTTAGCATCTTGACGCGAGCTATTTTTGTTGCCAGAAAGGGGCCCAAACTCTACTCTTGTATTTTGGCACTGCCAAGGGAGGGCACCACGATGCAACGCCGAAGTCTGATCTGTGTCCTCGGGGGAAGGTCTCGGGGGGGGGGGGGGGGCGACTGTAAAGTCGTCCCGAGCGAGAGAGAATCTCTCTTCTCAATCTCGATTTGAAGCTTTCGTGAAATGCAGGAATCCATACTCTTTGGTTCTTTCGGTAAAGTCACGTGGGTGGAAAAATAACAATAGATCACGACGTTTCGATCGCAACACGAGCAATCGTCATCAGGTGGGACAACCACAACAAGAGAAATCTGCTCAAGTAGGCGAGAGATCTGCCGTGGCACGAGGTTATATAGTAGGCCTCGGCAGTGGGGGGGGGAGGTGGGGGGAGAGAGGGGGCGGGGCAGGAAGTGGACCACCGTGGCAGTACCTGGGACACTGTAGTGAAGTGACCACCACGGTAACACCTGGGTCACTGTAGTAAAGTGACCACCACGGCAGCTCTGGGTCACTGTAGTAAAGTGACCACCACGGCAGCCCCAGGTCACTGGAGTAAAGTGGACCACCGTGGCCGTACCAGGTCATTGGAGTAAAGTGACCACCACGGCAGTACCAGGTCACTGTAGTAAAGTGACCACCACGGCAGTACCAGGTCACTGTAGTAAAGTGACCACCACGGCAGCCCCGGGTCACTGTAGTAAAGTGGACCACCACGGCAGTACCTGGGTCACTGTAGTAAAGTGACCACCACGGCAGCCCCGGGTCACTGTAGTAAAGTGACCACCACGGCAGTACCGGGTTACTGTAGTAAAGTGGACCACCACGGCAGCCCCGGGTCACTGTAGTAAAGTGACCACCATGGCAGTACCGGGTCACTGTAGTAAAGTGACCACCACGGTAACACCTGGGTCACTGTAGTGAAGTGACCACCACGGCAGTACCAGGGTCACTGTAGTGAAGTGGACCACCACGGCAGCCCCAGGTCACTGTAGTAAAGTGACCACCACGGCAACACCTGGGTCACTGTAGTAAAGTGACCACCACGGTAACACCCGGGTCACTGTAGTGAAGTGGACCACCACGGCAGCCCCAGGTCACTGTAGTAAAGTGGACCACCACGGCAACACCATGGACACTGTAGTAAAGTGACCACCACGGCAGCCCCGGGTCACTGGAGTAAAGTGACCACCATGACAGTACCGGGTCACTGTAGTAAAGTGACCACCACGGTAACACCTGGGTCACTGTAGTAAAGTGGACCACGGTGGCAGCCCCAGGTCACTGTAGTAAAGTGACCACCACGGTAACACCCGGGTCACTGTAGTAAAGTGACCACCACGGCAGCCCCGGGTCACTGTAGTAAAGTGACCACCACTACGGCAACACCTGGGACACTGTAGTAAAGTGACCACCACGGCAGTACCAGGTCACTGTAGTAAAGTGACCACCACGGCAGCCCCGGGTCACTGGAGTGAAGTGGACCACCACGGCAACACCCGGGTCACTGTAGTAAAGTGACCACCACTACGGCAACACCTGGGACACTGTAGTAAAGTGGACCACCACCACGGCAACACTGAAGAGGGTCGCCTGCAGGGGAGGGGAGAGAAGGGGGTGTAGACAGGGCAGGAAGTGGAGCCAGCGGCAGCCCCGGGTCACTGGAGTGAGAGAATCTCTCCCTTCGTGTGTCGCCATCAGCTTCTGCCGTCGTTGCTGCGCCCTTTGAGAACCCATTCAGGGCCGTGTCCAAGGTGGCGACGAGACGCGATGTCCCTGCGCGAGTTTGCGCTGGGGGGAACGTGGCGGCTCACGGGGCTCTTGGGCAGCAGTGTTGGGGACTTTGGAGGGTGATGGGTGACAGAATTTGAGTTGGTTGTTGTTGTTTTGTCTCTTTCTTTGTTTACAAATGGCGGCCGTTGGTAGATGAGACAGTGATGTCGTTGTCACGGGAAGGCTTTCGTGACTTGCAGGAATTCACATTCTCTTTGGGTCTTTCGGCAAAGTCACGTGGATAGGTTCAAAGAAAATAACAAAAACACTACTCATTGTTTTTTTCGGTAAAGTCACGTATGTAGAAATACAATAAAATTATATTTAAAAAAATGTTTTATTGTATGTCTACATACGTGACTTTACCGAAAAAAACCAATGGGTAATTTTATGCAGTCACGAAAGCTTTAATACTTTAACAAAAACACTACGACGTTTCGATCGCAACACGAGCGGTCGCGCCGGATAACGACCGCTTGTGTTGCGATCGAAACGTCGTAGTTTTTTGTTGTTGTTGTTATTTTCTTTGAACCGATCTACGTGACTTTACCGAAAGACACAAAAAAACAACGCCACATTTTCAGAGGTCACTCACAACAGCCCCACCTCGTGGCAATGTGCTGGCCACTGCAGTGCTGCTGAGGGTAATGATCATGATGCTGGTGGTGGTGGTGGAAGTGATGGGCAATTCTGATGATGATGATGATATTAATGATCTTAACACTGCCACTAATACTGCTGGTGGTGGTGCTGCTGCTACTGCTGCTGGTGGTGGTGGTGGTGCTGCTGCTACTGCTGCTGGTGGTGGTGCTACTGCTGGTGGTGGTGGTGCTACTGCTACTGGTGGTGGTGGTGCTACTACTACTGGTGGTGGTGGTGGTGCTGCTGCTACTGGTGGTGGTGGTGGTGCTACTGGTGGTGGTGCTACTGCTACTGGTGGTGGTGGTGCTACTACTAGTAGTGGTGGTGCTACTGCTGCTGGTGGTGGTGCTACTGCTGCTGGTGGTGGTGCTACTGGTGGTGGTGGTGCTACTGCTGCTGGTGCTACTGCTGCTGCTGGTGGTGCTACTGCTGCTGGTGGTGGTGCTACTGCTGGTGGTGGTGCTACTGCTGGTGGTGCTACTGCTACTGGTGGTGGTGCTACTGCTGGTGGTGGTGGTGCTACTGCTGCTGGTGGTGGTGCTACTGCTGCTGGTGGTGGTGCTACTGCTGCTGGTGGTGGTGCTGCTACTGCTGGTGGTGGTGATGCTACTACTGCTGCTGGTGGTGCTACTGCTACTGGTGGTGGTGCTACTGCTACTGGTGGTGGTGGTGCTACTGCTGGTGGTGGTGCTGCTGCTACTGCTACTGGTGGTGGTGGTGCTACTGCTGGTGGTGGTGGTGCTACTGCTACTCCTGGTGCTACTGCTGGTGGTGCTGGTGGTGGTGCTACTACTACTGCTGGTGGTGGTGGTGCTACTGCTACTGCTGGTGGTGGTGCTACTACTGCTGCTGGTGGTGGTGCTACTGCTACTGGTGGTGGTGCTACTGCTGGTGGTGGTGCTACTGCTGCTGCTGGTGGTGCTACTACTGCTGCTGGTGGTGGTGGTGCTACTGCTACTGGTGGTGGTGGTGCTACTGCTGGTGGTGGTGCTACTACTACTGGTGGTGGTGGTGGTGCTACTGATGGTGGTGGTGCTACTGCTGCTGGTGGTGGTGCTACTGATGGTGGTGGTGCTACTGCTGCTGGTGGTGGTGCTACTGCTGGTGGTGGTGCTACTGCTACTGCTGGTGGTGCTACTGCTACTGGTGCTGCTACTACTACTACTGGAGGTGGTGCTACTACTACTGCTGGTGGTGCTACTACTACTGCTGGTGGTGGTGGTCCTACTACTACTGGAGGTGGTGCTACTACTACTGGTGGTCGTGCTACTACTACTGGTGGTGGTGCTACTACTACTGGAGGTGGTGCTACTACTACTGCTGGTGGTGCTACTGCTACTGGTGGTGGTGGTGCTACTGGTGGTGGTGGTGGTGCTACTGGTGGTGGTGCTACTACTGGTGGTGGTGCTACTGCTGGTGGTGGTGGTGCTACTACTACTGCTGGTGGTGCTACTACTACTGGTGGTGGTGCTACTGCTACTGGTGGTGGTGGTGGTGCTACTGGTGGTGGTGCTACTACTGGTGGTGGTGCTACTGCTGGTGGTGGTGGTGCTACTACTGGTGGTGGTGCTACTGCTGGTGGTGGTACTACTGCTGGTGGTGCTACTGCTGGTGGTGGTGCTACTGCTGGTGGTGGTGCTACTGCTGGTGGTGGTGGTGCTACTGCTGGTGGTGCTACTGGTGGTGCTACTGCTGCTGGTGGTGGTGCTACTGCTGTTGGTGCTACTGCTGGTGGTGGTGGTGCTACTGCTGGTGGTGCTACTGGTGGTGCTACTGCTGCTGGTGGTGGTGCTACTGCTGCTGGTGGTGGTGCTACTGCTGGTGGTGCTACTGCTGGTGGTGGTTCTACTGCTGCTGGTGGTGCTACTACTGCTGCTACTGCTACTGGTGGTGGCGCTACTGCTGCTGGTGGTGGTGCTACTACTGCTGGTGCTACTGGTGGTGGTGGTGCTACTGGTGGTGGTGGTGCTACTGCTACTGGTGGTGGTGCTACTGCTGGTGGCGGTGCTACTGCTACTGCTGGTGGTGCTACTGCTGGTGGTGGTGCTACTGCTGCTGGTGCTACTGGTGGTGCTACTGCGCCTTCTCATCCTGCTGCTACTGCTGCTCCTTACTGCTGCTGCTTCCGCCGGTGCAGGGGGAGCGGCTGGGCCCCCCAAGGGGCTCGAGGGGCTGGCGTCGCTGCGGGCGCTGTGGGAGGGGAGGATCCGCGCCACCGCAGAGGAGGTGGAGCGCCAGCGCTCGAACAGAGAGCGCCGCTCGCTGGGCAGGTACGGCGCTCGCTGGCGACGCCTCGACGGCTGCTGGCGCTGCTGCTGCTGCTGCTGCTGTCTGTCCTGCTGCTGCTGTCTGTCCTGCTGGTGCTGTCTGTCCTGCTGGTGCTGTCTGTCCTGCTGGTGCTGTCTGTCCTGCTGCTGCTGTCTGTCCTGCTGGTGCTGTCTGTCCTGCTGGTGCTGTCTGTCCTGCTGGTGCTGTCTGTCCTGCTGCTGCTGTCTGTCCTGCTGGTGCTGTTTGTCCTGCTGCTGCTGTCTGTCCTGCTGTCTGTCCTGCTGGTGCTACTGCTGCTGCTGTCTGTCCTGCTGGTGCTGTCTGTCCTGCTGGTGCTGCTGCTGTCTGTCCTGCTAGTGCTACTGCTGGTGCTGCTGCTGTCTGTACCTGCTGGTGCTGCTGCTGTCTGTCCTGCTGCTGTCTGTCCTGCTGGTGTTGTCTGTCCTGCTGCTGGTGCTGCTGCCTGTCCTGCTAGTGCTACTGCTGCTGGTGCTGCTGGTTCTGTCTGTCCTGCGGGTACTGCTGCTGCCTGTCCTGCTGGTGCTACTGCTGCTGGTGCTGTCTGTCCAGCTGTCTGTCCTGCTGCTGGTGCTGCTGGTGCTACTGCTGCTGGTGCTGTTGCCTGTCCTGCTGCTGGTGCTGCTGGTGCTGTCTATCTTGCTGCTGCTGTTTCTCCTGCATGTCCTGATGGGGGTGCGACTGCTGCTGCTGCTTGTGCGACTGCTGCTGGTGCTACTGCTGCTGATGCTGCTGCTGCTGCTTGTGCGACTGCTGCCATCTCTCCTGGCACTGTCCGTGCTGCCGGCGCTGCCCGTGCTGCTGGTGGCCAGGCTGTCTGCCGCCTGGGAGCACCGCATCAGCGTGGCCAAGCTCCGCGAGCTGCTGGTGACGGTGGACGGCCGCGTGGTGCTCAAGGTGCTCAAGCTGGACTGGGAGGTGAGCCCCCACCCACCCACCCACGTGTCTCTCACCCACCCACCCACGTGTCTCTCACCCACCCACGTGTCTCTCACCACGTGTGTCTCACCACGTGTGTCTCACCACGTGTGTCTCACCACGTGTGTCTCACCACGTGTGTCTCACCACGTGTGTCTCACCACGTGTGTCTCACCACGTGTGTCTCACCACGTGTCTCTCACCACGTGTGTCTCATCACGTGTGTCTCACCACGTGTCTCTCACCACGTGTGTCTCACCACGTGTCTCTCACCACGTGTATCCCACCACGTGTCTCTCATCACGTGTGTCTCACCACGTGTGTCTCACCACGTGTGTCTCACCACGTGTGTCTCACCACGTGTGTCTTACCACGTGTGTCTCACCACGTGTGTCTCATCACGTGTCTCTCACCACGTGTGTCTCACCACGTGTCTCTCATCACGTGTGTCTCACCACGTGTCTCACCACGTGTCTCTCACCACGTGTGTCTCACCACGTGTGTCTCACCACGTGTGTCTCACCACGTGTGTCTCACCACGTGTGTCTCACCACGTGTGTCTCATCACGTGTCTCTCATCACGTGTGTGTCATCACGTGTGTCTCACCACGTGTATCTCACCACGTGTGTCTCACCACGTGTCTCTCACCACGTGTGTCTCACCACGTGTCGCATCACGTGTGTCTCACCACGTGTGTCTCACCACGTGTGTCTCACCACGTGTGTCTCACCACGTGTCTCACCACGTGTGTCTCACCACGTGTGTCTCACCACGTGTGTCTCACTACGTGTGTCTCACCACGTGTCTCTCATCACGTGTGTCTCACCACGTGTCTCTCATCACGTGTGTCTCACCACGTGTCTCTCACCACGTGTGTCTCACCACGTGTCTCTCACCACGTGTGTCTCACCACGTGTCTCATCACGTGTGTCTCACCACGTGTGTCTCACCACGTGTGTCTCACCACGTGTGTCTCACCACGTGTCTCTCATCACGTGTGTCTCACCACGTGTCTCACCACGTGTCTCTCACCACGTGTGTCTCACCACGTGTCTCTCATCACGTGTGTCTCACCACGTGTGTCTCACCACGTGTGTCTCACCACGTGTGTCTCATCACGTGTCTCTCATCACGTGTGTGTCATCACGTGTGTCTCACCACGTGTATCTCACCACGTGTGTCTCACCACGTGTCTCTCACCACGTGTGTCTCACCACGTGTCTCATCACGTGTGTCTCACCACGTGTGTCTCACCACGTGTGTCTCACTACGTGTGTCTCATCACGTGTGTCTCACCACGTGTGTCTCACCACGTGTCTCTCACCACGTGTGTCTCACCACGTGTGTCTCACCACGTGTGTCTCACCACGTGTGTCTCATCACGTGTGTCTCACCACGTGTGTCTCACCACGTGTGTCTCATCACGTGTGTCTCACCACGTGTGTCTCATCACGTGTGTCTCATCACGTGTGTCTCACCACGTGTGTCTTACCACGTGTGTCTCACCACGTGTGTCTTACCACGTGTGTCTCACCACGTGTCTCACCACGTGTGTCTCACCACGTGTGTCTCACCACGTGTGTCTCACCACGTGTGTCTCACCACGTGTGTGTCATCACGTGTGTCTCACCACGTGTGTCTCACCACGTGTGTCTCATCACGTGTCTCTCATCACGTGTGTCTCACCACGTGTGTCTCACCACGTGTGTCTCACCACGTGTGTCATCACGTGTGTCTCACCACGTGTCTCTCACCACGTGTGTCTCACCACGTGTGTCTCATCACGTGTGTCTCACCACGTGTCTCTCATCACGTGTCTCTCACCACGTGTGTCTCACCACGTGTCTCTCACCACGTGTGGCTCACCACGTGTCTCTCACCACGTGTCTCTCACCACGTGTCTCTCACCACGTGTCTCTCATCACGTGTGTCTCATCACGTGTGTCTCACCACGTGTATCTCATCACGTGTGTCTCATCACGTGTGTCTCGCCACGTGTGTCTCACCACGTGTGTCTCACCACGTGTCTGTCACCACGTGTGTCTCACCACGTGTGTCTCACCACGTGTCTCTCACCACGTGTCTCTCACCACGTGTCTCTCACCACGTGTCTCTCATCACGTGTGTCTCATCACGTGTGTCTCACCACGTGTATCTCATCACGTGTGTCTCATCACGTGTGTCTCACCACGTGTATCTCATCACGTGTCCCACGTGCCGTCACGTGTGTCCCTCCCCACGTCTCTCCCCCTTACCACGCGCGTCTTACCACGTGTGTCTCTTCTTTGGTTCTTTCGGTAAAGTCACGTAGAATGAGAATAAAATAATAAATTAATATTATAAAATAACACAATAAAATTTTCACGACGTTTCGGCTACAACACAAGTGGCCTTCTTCAGGTGAAAGGAGTGGTATGGTTTACAACATGGAGTATAACAGCGCCTCGCAGCTGTCTCTCTCCCCCTCCTCCGTTCCGACCATGGATGAACTCGTCCGTCTGAACGGGGCTTGTAGCTGTCCGTGGTGCTGAAGTTGAGGGTAAGAATCCACCCATTTTTTCGCCATGCAGCATTGTGATATATAACGACTTATTGTTGGTAGCTTAGCTGATTGGAGAATATATAGAGTTTATTGATAACATTGAGGTAGTTTATATTTTAGTTTTTATTGGTTTACTATATGGTATTCATTATATAGTGTAGTGTATACCCAGTTACTGTTAATAGCTCAGCTTATCGAAGAATATATTGAGTACATTTATTATATTGATGTAATTTAGACTTAGGTTTTTTCACATCGGTTTACTATATGATAGTCGAGTTGTTCTAGCCCCTTTGACGTCCATGTACTAGGTGCCTCTGTAGATGTGTAGGCTTTGACTTTAACATAGCCATTTCTATGACCAGTCACAAGCTAATCCCTCAGTTATTTCAATGCTAAATTCTCCTGTTTGATTTATACTAGGTACCTCTGTGGATGTGGAAGCTTTGACTTTAACATAGCCATGTTTGTGACCAGTCACAAGTTAATCACTCAGCTATTTCAATGCTAAATTCTCCTGTTTGATTTGTACTAGGTGCCTCTGTGGATGTGTAGGCTTTGACTTTAATATAGCTATTTCTATGACCAGTAACAAGCTAATCCCTCAGTTATTTCAATGCTAAATTCTCCTGTTTGATTTGTACTAGGTGCCTCTGTGGATGTGTAGGCTTTGACTTTAACATAGCCATTTCTGTGACCAGTCACAAGCTAATCACTCAGCTATTTCAATGCTAGATTATCCTGTTTGATTTGTACTAGGTGCCTCTGTGGATGTGTAAGCTTTGACTTTAACATAGCTATTTCTATGACCAGTCACAAGCTAATTACTCAGCTATTTCAATGCTAAATTATCCTGTTTTATATGTAAACCCCTTTGTCAAGGTGCCTCACTTGTCTAAACCAGCTTAAAAAGACGCTACGAATCTTAACAACGTTCGTTGAAGCTCTGTCGTCCCGACAGGTCTGTTCCTTTCACCTGAAGAAGGCCACTTGTGTTGTGGCCGAAACGTCGTGAGAATTTTATTGTGTTATTTTATTAATTTATTATTTATTCTAATTCTACGTGACTTTACCGAAAGAACCAAAGAAGATGAATCCTTGCAGTCACAAAAGCTTTAAATCACGTGTGTCTTACCACGTGTGTCTTACCACGTGTGTCTCATCACGTGTGTCTCATCACGTGTCCCCCGTGCCGTCACGTGTCCCCCCCCCACCCCCACGTCTCTCCCCCTTACCACGTGTGTCTTACTACGTGTGTCTTACCACGTGTGTCTCACCACGTGTGTCTCACCACGTGTCCCACGTGCCGTCACGTGTCCCCCCCCCCCCCCACGTCTCTCTTCCCCCCCCACTCCCCCGTGTAGAAGCTTCCAGCAGCCCTGGAGCAGCTGCCCGCCATGCACGAGTGGCAGATCCACCGCACGCAGCTCCACTCGCTGCCCCCTAACCTGGGCGCCTTCAGCAGCCTCCTCACCCTCGACCTCTCACGCAACCGCATCCACTGCCTCCCGCCGCAGATCGGTCAGAGACGAGCCCCCCCCCCCCCCCCCCCACTGGACACCCCTCCCCCCCCCGCTCCGTGACCCTGACCTGGACTCTAACCACCACCCACCTGCCGCCCTCGACCTTAACGCCGAAGCCGAACTCCGTCTCGCCCCAACTGTGACCCTGAACCTGTCCTGAACCCAGACCCTGACCCTGACCTCGTCCTGAACCCAGATCCTGACCCTGAACTTGTCATGAACCAAGACCCTGACCTGACCCTGAACCTGTCCTGAACCCAGTCCCAGATTCTGACCCTGCCCTGACCCTGAACTTGTCCTGAACCCAGCCCCTGACCCTGACCTGACCCTGAACTTGTCCTTGACCCAGTCCCTAACTCTGACCTGACCCTGAACCTGTCCTGAACCCAGACCCAGACTCTGACCCTGACCTGACCCTGAACTTGTCCTGAACCCAGACCCTGACCCTGAACTTGTCCTGAACCCAGACCCTGACCCTGAACTCGTCCTGAACCCAGACCCTGACCCTGACTTTGAACTTGTCATGAACCCAGACCCTGACCCTGACCTGACCCTGAACTTGTCCTTGACCCAGTCCCTAACTCTGACCTGACCCTGAACCTGTCCTGAACCCAGACCCAGACTCTGGACCCTGACCTGACCCTGAACTTGTCCTGAACCCAGTCCCTGAGAAGAACCGACTCTCAAACTATGGTTGATGTTTACATGAACGAAGTTATTGATGTTGTTGATGTTATTGTTTTGTTGATGTGGTTCCTGTCGATGTTGTTGATAATGTTATTGAAGATGTCGTTGATGTTGATGATGGTGCTGCTGCGATCTGTCCTGTTGATGTTATTGTTGATGTTGCTGATGTTCATGATGCAGGTTTTTTTCGGTTCGATCGCGTAAATATCAACGCATCGTTAAACCCGCCACCACCCGACACAGCCAATTAGTAATGTCTGTCACGTAAACAGAACGTGGCCAATTCGTTACTAGTACAGCACTAGTGTGTAGTGTATTGTGTATAGTGTAGTGTATAGTAGTGTAGTGTATTGTGTATAGTGTAGTGTATAGTGTAGTGTATAGCAGTGTAGTGTATAGTGTAGTGTATAGTAGTGTATTGTGTATAGTAGTGTAGTGTATAGTGTAGTGTATAGTAGTGTAGTGTACAGTGTAGTATACTAGTACAGCACGCCGGTTGTGTGTGGGAGAGCAAGTCCACATTTACAATCTAAGTACGACGTTTCGCCAGCAATTACAACCGGCATATGATATGATAATTGTTTTTTTTTACCCTTTTATCTGGCAACAAAACTGACACCTTTTTTACAAGGAGTCATGTTTACATTGACCACATACATTATCAGAGTTGTTTTTGTTACTGGCAAATGAGGTTTCCAATGGTGTAAATGTTCACCTTTGAGTTGTGCGCCTTTTGGCGTCTTCTGGTCCAACACCAACGTGAGACGAGGCTCTAAAGAAAGCTGTCTCGGGTGTGGACCAATCAATTTCAAGGACAGTGCCACATACATTATCAGAGTTGTTGTTTTTTGTTTGCGTTCCGACCGCAGGTATTGTGGTCAATGTAAACATGACTCCTTGTAAAAAAAAGGTGTCAGTTTTGTTGCCAGATAAAAGGGTAAAAAAACAATTATCATATTTTGTGACTGGCAAATGAGGTTTCCAATGATGTTGTTGTTGTTGATGATGATGATGTTGTTGTTGTTGATGATGATGTTGTTGTTGTTGATGTTGTTGTTGTTGATGATGATGTTGTTGTTGATGTTGTTGTTAGTGATGTTGTTGTTGTTGTTGTTTATGATGATGTTGTTGTTGATGTTGTTGTTGATGATGTTGTTGTTGTTGATGATGATCTTGTTGTTGTTGATGTTGTTGTTGTTGTTGATGATGATGTTGTTGTTGATGTTGTTGTTGGTGATGTTGTTGTTGATGATGATGTTGTTGTTGTTGTTGATGTTGTTGTTGATGATGTTGTTGTTGTTGATGATGATCTTGTTGTTGTTGATGTTGTTGTTGTTGATGATGATGATGATGTTGTTGTTGTTGATGTTGTTGTTGATGATGTTGTTGTTGTTGATGATCTTGTTGTTGTTGATGTTGTTGTTGTTGTTGTTGATAATGATGATGATGTTGTTGTCGCTAGGCCTGCTGTCCCGCCTGCGCGAGCTGTCTCTCAGCTACAACGCCCTGGACGCCGTCCCACCGGAGCTCTCCCAGTGCCGCGAGCTCCAGCGGCTGGAGCTGTCGGCCAACCAGGGCCTCCACGACCTCCCTGACGAGGTGACGTCATCGTCGTCGTCATCGTCGTCACCGTCACCAACAACATCGTCCTCGTCGTCGTCATCTCCAATGCCATCGTCGTCATCATCACCGTAATCAACATCATCGTCGTTGTCGTCATCATCTCCAACGCCATCGTCGTCATCATCACCATCACCAACATCATCGTCATCGTCATCATCTCCAACGCCATCGTCGTCATCATCACCGTCACCAACATCATCGTCGTCGTCGTCATCTCCAACACCATCGTCGTCATCATCACCGTCACCAACATCATCGTCGTTGTCGTCATCATCTCCAACGCCATTGTCGTCATCATCACCGTCACCAACATCATCGTCGTTGTCGTCGTCATCTCCAACGCCATCGTCGTCATCATCACCGTCACCAACATCATCGTCCCCCCCCCCTCACGCCCCCCCCCCCCCCCCCCCCAGCAGCTGGGCTCCCTGCCGAGCCTGTACCACGTGGACCTGTCTGTGAATTCGTTCCCTCGCGTGCCCTCGGCCCTCCTCCGCCTGGCGGCTCTCGAGTGGCTCGACCTGAGCAGCAACCGCCTGCAGGGCCTGCCCAGCGACATGAGCAGGTAGCACCACCAACAACAACAACCAACAACAACAACAACAACCAACAACAACAACCAACAACCAACAACAACATCAAACAACAACCGCCTGCAGGGCCTGCCCAGCGACATGAGCAGGTAGCACCACCAACAACAACAACCAACAACAACAACAACCAACAACAACAACACCAATAACATCAAACAACAACCGCCTGCAGGGGCTGCCCAGCGACATGAGCAGGTACCACCACCACCAACAACAACAACAACAACCACAACCAACAACAACAACCACCACCAACAACCAATAACAACAACATCAAACAACAACCGCCTGCAGGGCCTGCCCAGCGACATGAGCAGGTAGCACCACCAACAACAACAACAAACAACAACAAGAACCAACAACACCAACAACATCAAACAACAACAACCAACAACAACAACCAACAACAACAACAACCAACCACCAACAACAACAACCAATAACAACAACTGCCCCATCATCGATTGGGAGTTGTGGGGGTGGAGTGTCCGATGGTACAAAATACCCAGGCAGGTGCTTAGTTTTGGTGGGGCTGATGGTAAGGCCCCACCTCTTAGTGGCACGCTCCAGTCTCAGCAGCAGCGTCTCCAACTCCTCCTCTGACTGAGCAGCTATTACCAAGTCATCAGCATACATAACGTGGTTGAGCAATAGGGAGCCATCCCTTGACCGCACCCGGGCATCGATTAGCCTCCCATTATATCTGTACCATATGGAGATTCCCCCGGTACAGCTATTGAAGGCTTCACGAACTACCTGGTCAAAATAGATGTTAAATAATGTGGGAGCCAGAGGACATCCCTGTCGCACCCCAAGGTGTACAGGGAATGGCTCTGACTCCCGGCCACGTAGTTTTACCCGGGCCTGCTCACCATCATGAAGGTCCTTAATGATCGTGAGCAGAGGGTCAGGTACTCCAAAAGCACGAAGAACGACCCAGAGCCCAGGCCTACTGATGGTATCATAGGCCTTGACCAGGTCAATAAAGCAGAGATGTAGGTCTTGTTGGAATTCCCTACACCTCTGCTGTAGCAGACGGACAGAAAATATGGCATCTGTGCAGGACCGCCCTTTCCTGAAACCGCATTGGGGCTCCGCAAGCCTCTCCTCAGCGTGCCTGGCAAGGCGATGCTGAATAATCCTTGCCAGGACCTTTCCCGGCACACTGAGGAGTGAGATGCCCCTGTAGTTGTTACAGTCTGTGCGATCCCCCTTCTTAAAAAGGGGGACCACCAGGGCATCCTTCCAATCCTGCGGAACCCGTCCAGTGGTCCAGACTGTTGTTATGATGTCATATAGGGCAGTCTGTGCACAAACGCCACCCTCCCTCAGCATTTCGCTTGGGAGATCATCTCTGCCCGCTGCCTTTCCTGGTCTCATACTCCGGATCGCCTTCAATACTTCCTCAGCAGATGGCACCTCAGCCAGCCACTCACAGGGGGTGACTTCATCCAATATTTGAGGCACCGCAGCCTTAGCAGGGTCATCCTCACTTTGTGCCACGATGTTTTCCTGGCTGAGGGATTTTCCCTCCCCCAGGACCTCACAGAAATGCTCAGCAAATCTGCGAACCTGTTCCTGGGGGTCGGAAATTGGATCACCGTTTTTTCCCCTAATGATGGTAATAGGTGTGGCGCTGCAGGTTACTTTTTTGATGGAGTTAAATAGAGATTTGTGATCACGGGCCACTGAGGCAGACTCCATCTCCTCAGCAACCCGCGACCACCACCCATCCTTGCAGCGCCTCACGGCTCTTCGAACCTCCGAGCGAAGGCTGCGGTAAGCCTCCTCATTCTCTGACGTGGGATTCTGTAGCCGATGACAGTGGGCCTGTCGCTTTTTCTCAACCATCCTGAACAACTCCTCTGTCATCCAGGGTGTCTGGGGAGGTCTGGACCGCGTACCCAAAGCAGCCATTGCAGCTGCATGAGTCACAGTCCTAAACCTCGCCCATTTACCCTCGACATCAGGAGGAGTCGGGGACGATGCCAATCCCAGCCGCAAGCGATGATGAAATTCTCGCTTGCAACTTTCATCAGATAACTGAGACCAGGCCACTTTAGGTTGGAATGGGCTCCTGGGTGTACACCCACCACCGGAGTGGAAGAATGGCAGGCGCATCTTACAGATGACTAGTCGATGGTCAGAGGGCAGATCAGC